TACCAAGACCGATCCCTGACCGACTTGGCTCTGATACCAATTGTTGAATAAGAAGAGTATCCAAGATAACTCTAATGATCCCAAGAAGAAGAAAATAGAACACACTCTTAAAGAAAGCTCACAAAACAAACTAATTAGCAAAGCTTTTCTTATTTAGCTCTAGGCTTTGTTTTTCCTTGGATGATTTACAATGCTTGAGAACTTGGGTATTTATAGCAAACCAAATGAATAAACTAAGATTATTTATTACCACACAAAACACATTAATTTCACCTAATTTATTTTTATTCAACCATGCCTAACATTGCCTAATTTTCCATACCTAACTTTGACATTGATTTTCAACATCTTTGACATTGATTTTCAACATTTTCCCAGTGCTTTTATAGATCCCTTTGTTTGAGAGTTCTTTGCTAAAGTGGATAGCTGGTTCACTTAATCACTGTGTGTTCCTTATTTTTCTGTATATTATCAGTTTCGTATGAAAGGAAAAGAAATATAAGTTTTCACTTAGTTTTGGTCTAACCATCACAGATGGCTTGAAAACATTCGTGATTGGTGCATCTCGAGGCAGCTGTGGTGGGGTCACCGTGTTCCTGCATGGTATGTTGTTTATGAGAGTGATAAGGTGGAGGTTTTTGGAGTACTTGATGATCGATGGGTGGTTGCGAGGAATGTGGAAGAGGCTCAAGCACAGGCTAGTGGTAGATATGAGGGGAACTTTCAATTTATTCAGGATCCTGATGTCCTTGACACTTGGTTTTCTTCTGCTCTCTTCCCATTGTCTGTGTTGAGCTGGCCAGAGGACACAGAAGACCTAAAGGCTTTTTATCCGACTTCACTTCTTGAAACTGGTCATGATATCCTCTTTTTCTGGGTTGCTCGTATGGTAATGCTTGGAATGACATTGGGCGGCAATGTACCTTTTACAAAGGTGGGTAGCATTTTTTTCATTATAGATGTAGAGACATGGTATAAATAGCTCTACTTTGTGTTGCATATTGTAAAAGTTATAAGTTACTAGTTACTCAAGTGACAAGTGTACTGTTTCTCGGTCTGCAGGTATATTTGCACCCTATGATTCGTGATGCACATGGGCGTAAAATGTCTAAATCCTTGGGGAATGTCATTGATCCACTTGATGTGATAAATGGTGTTGAACTTGAAGATCTGCAGAAGAAGCTTTTAGAGGGAAATTTGGATGCCAAGGAAGTAGCTGTCTCGGAAGAAGTGCTAAAGAAGGACTTTCCTAAAGGGATTAAGGAATGTGGCACAGATGCTCTCCGCTTTGCTCTAGTGTCTTACACTGCTCAGGTTTAGACTTCTGTCTTGCTTACTATTTTCTTCAGGTAATTGTTGTCTCGCATGGACAGTGGATCTAATCATCTGTTTCGTTTTCTTGTCTTGTCAGCATGATAAGATAAATCTGGATATCAAAAGGGTGGAGGGCTACAAAAGCTGGTGTAATATAAATTGTGGAATGTAGCAAGGTTTTCTCTGAGCATACTTGGGAATGACTATGTTCCGCCCTTAACTGTAAATCCACATGTGTTCCCATTTAGTTGCCAATGGATACTCTCGGTACTGAAGCCATATCCAAAACTGTTTTGTCTCTGGAATCGTACTAATTATCAGATGCAGCCACTGCAGTGCATGCTTGGTGGCAGTACCAGTTGTGTGATGTTTTCGTTGAAGCTATCAAGCCCTACTTTTCTGGTAACGATCCAAAGTTTGCATTTGAAAGGGGTTGTGCATGAGACATCTATGGTTATGTCCTGACAATGGGCTACGGTTGCTTCATCCGTTAATGCCATTTGTCTCAGAAGAACTGTGGCAGCGTCTTCCATCTTCAGGGGAGAGAAACATCAATCATGATATGCGAATATCCATCCATTACAGAGGTTAGTTTAGTCATAATTGACATTGTTTTCTCAAGTTTTTTCTTGCGTCCTTTTGTTTTAAATTCAACAATGTTGGTGATCCTCGCTAGCCTAAAATAGAGGCAAGGGGTTGCAAAGCGTTCAGTTGTTTCATCGCTCTTCTTAGATATCGCTTGCTTCATCAACTATACATAGAAATGGTGTTTTTCTTTGATTGTTGATCAGAAATTAGCATGCGTAGTAACTACCTTTGTATCGTGTTATTCATCCAGTGCTGGACAAACGAAAAGGCAGAATCTGAGATGAACCTTACAGAGTCTATTGTGCAATCTCTCTGTTCACTCGCAAAAGAAAGTCATGAAAGGTACATCTTGTTAGTGCAGTGCGTGACGTCTTTCCTGTTTCTTAATAACTCTGAACTTTTGATATGTCACTTCATAAGCTGGATATAACTAGTTACGCATCCTCTTTCCGTGTTTCTTTCAGGCGATCAGCCATTGTGATTTGTAGAACAATTTCGGATTGGAAGATAATCTGCAGCCATCAACGGGAGATTGAAACTCTCGCCCATTTGTCATCGTTGACGGTAAGTATTTCTTTGGAGGAAATCGAGTGTGCATATTGATCATATTTATTGCGGAGGCTTGTCTGCAAAACAAGTGTTTGATGATACTTTAGTAGTAAACACGGTTTTCCATTCGTTGATTTAGGTTTTATCTACGATAAACATTTTGATCCCTACAGGTAGTCAGTGAGGAAGATGGCTTTCCCACCCCTACCAACTCCGATGGATACGTGATGTCTACTGTAAATAAAAACATTTCGGTTTTTCTGAACGTTCCCGACCGCTAATGCTGACAAGCTTCAATCCTTGGACGGGTAGATCATGTCTTTGGAAAGGGATGGAAATAATCTCCTTGAAGACTAGACCAATGTGTGTTCCCGACCGGGTTCTGAGGCTTGAGAGAAGTTTTTGGTATGAGTTGAGTGCGTTTGGAGCGAGAGACAACTCTTCCAGTTTAACTGAAACACGTCGTTTCCCGATACACCCTTTTTAACTTCTCACTCTTATTATTTATGGCCATCGGATCGAATAAATCAAGCAGAATCACCGATCATGTACATTTTTCAAGCTCATTTCAAGGTTATATTCCAAATTAAATAGAAATTTGCAGGCCAAACATATTCCATTTGACGCACGAAAACCAGTCGGTGACTGATACTAGAGATGATTAAATTCACTGTCAGAAACCAAGTAACTTGCACTATACAGCCATGAATCAATAAGAACATCGGAAATTTGATGGTCGCTCCCGCAAAGATTTCAATGAACACAGAAATAACACAAGGAGCTCTCAGTGGTTATATCCAATTCAAGCTTTGCTCCACCTATTGCATCACAGTTATTAACTGTACATGTTTATACTATTTGTAAAGAATTGAAGAGTACATATCTATCCATACAAGGTGCGAGTTTTGGAAGAAAATGCAGCAGCAACATCATCTCGTGTACCTCTTTGTTTCGACTCAAAAATGTCACAGTAGTTGAACTGCTGCAATGGATGGGATTTTCTCCCTCAATTTCTGCGTTACTGCCACCCTAACCGTCATTACCCCGGCAGCTGGACCTGTGATACGGACCTTCACTATAGGCTCCTCGATTGTCACAAGCTCAAGAGATCCACCTGCTGCCCCTACTAAGTAGGGTCTAATTTCTTCAAGTACCTGGAGCAAATTGTACATACAAATACATAAGAGGACATCCCTGAAATCAAGCATCCACTTCCTCAATTTTTCGGCTATATTTGGAACTCATCTAAACATGAAATTATTATCTTTCGTTCTACCACGATTCATCTGACGTGCAGACCGCACTTTATGCAGTAAAGACATTTGATTTCTTCCTAGTATCAACATATCAGTCAACCGAAAGGAAAGAGTTATATTTAACCAAAAAAATAACAAGAATGAACATACATACCGAAAATAAATACGCAATTCTTGAACATTAGAAGGCTGATCAGTGTTTTAAACTTCTGACGGTCATTGTAGAGCATGACAGTAAGTCACAGGAGTAAGTATCCTAGGCTTTAGTGAAACACTCAAGGCTGACTTAAAGTGGTTTAACAATGACATCTCCACTCAAAATTTAAGTTAGTACGGAATATTGACCCGAACACAATCCCTTAATACTTCAATGCGGTTAAAGACTTATGAATTCTAATTATTATAATCATAATTTTCTTATTTTAATTTCTTGAGCTTATTTGAGCTAGTGCATGACACACAGTGGAAATCATCACTATCCTAATAACCAGGCCAAGAAACACGGTAAATTACTAATAGCCCACTGCAAAAGCACTTGACCACCAATGGCGAGGAAGAAAAATAATGTAGGGAGAGGGCATTGGTTATACTCTAGGTAAGCTAAACAGCAGTATAAGAATTCAACTAAGCAAACATTGCAAGTTTATTGGATAGTGATAAACGGAAACGGTTTTTAGAATCCCCAGAAATTACGAGCCAAGTGAAACAAACACCACTAAACAATTTTCTTATATATCATATTGGTTCAATTTTCTATATCAAATTCAAATAAACTCAGAATACTTTTTCTTAAACCTAAATCCTAAGCAGCAGCAGTGTAAAATCCCATTCAGATTTATGCATGAAGCAGGAACTCATGAAAAAGTATATCCAATTTTATTATTAAAGGGGTCTTACAACTTCAAAAGAAATATTACCTTCTCTATATTTTCTTCATTCAGTTCAAGTCCTGTTTCTTTGTCAGCTATTGCTTCCACTGCAACTATTTCAGGGATCTTTTCCATTAAACGACGCTCAATACCCATTTTCATTGTCATAACAGAGCTTGGACAGGAGCCACATGCTCCCTCAAGCTTCAAACGCACCACATTTCCATCAATCTCATGTAACGACACATTTCCTCCGTCGGAAATGAGATATGGTCGGATTTCATCCAATACACTTTCAACATTCTCTGCAGTCAGTGGCAATTCAACCGCTGAATCTGGAGTAGCAACCGCCTTAACAACTGTACAACAATAAAATATAGATAACCATAAGCATCCAACTAGGTAAAACTAAAACGAGACGGAATGGCGACCTGCTACATAGATGATCTTAGCATCTTTACAGAAAAAAGAAAATCAATCACACACAAACACAAATATTTTCATTTGTGTTTCTATACACCTTTAAAGTGAAAAGAATATTATAAACTCTACTGGTTTTTCTTAATGCAGACATACTTCTGGGATGTAACGAAGTCTTAAACTGGGTGCTAATAAGGCCCGGAACTATCTGTGTCAAATTATGAAACAGTGACTAGGGCAAAGGTGGAGTGCATGTCCTTATTGAACCTACATATGGGCTTTGATTATTTATTTTATCCAGAAGAATAACTTGTCAATGTTGCAAATTAAAGAGCAACCGTGGACATCCCATAATGTCTTCTTATTCGTAAGGCTCCACAAGGGTTCCATTTCCTAAAATGTCCAACAAACACCTCCATCTTCGGATTCTCGTACTGACTAATAATCAGATTTCTCACTTGCATTACCTTCAAACCAACGCTCAATTTGGGAATATTCATGCGACATTACTGGATTGACTCACACTAGCATCCGCAGAAGCAGAGCAAGAAAAGCATGGCAACCATTAACAACAAAAGTTCGTGTTGCAACAAGGTACATAGAATTACATCATTATATATTTTCGACATCAACAAGTGCGTAGCTTATCAATGTTCTAAAGTTGAGTCCGTCGATTCGCGTAGTTAATTGGGTTCAATCAAACATTACATAATTGAGTTTAATCAAACATTACAGAAATCTTGAATTCGATAACAGCCGAGAAAAGCTGAAATTGAAATAACTAATACTACTATCTGAAATTGTATCCTATACGAAAATAAACAAATAAATAAAATCAATGTTGGAGCACCCTGAAACTAATTATACCAGATTGAAAAATACAGCCGATGCTTACAAATCAACCAAACATTCAATTGATTGATTATATATATATATATATATATATATATATATAAAGCATAAAAATCATTGATTTCGAAATAAAAATAAACTGACCTAGGCTGCGTGAAGGTGAAGGTAACTTAACCAGTGAGCTAGGCCGCACCAGATTGCTCGCTCTACTGAGAGATACATAGGAGCCCGAGCCTCCAAATAATAAACTACAACTCTGTAGACAAAAGGGTAAAAATTCAAAATTAAAAGGGAAAAATATAAGAAGAAGCAATTGATTTGTTTATGAAAGTGAAGGGAAATCGAAGAAAACCGTGGAAAGTGGTCGTTGGAGTCTGCAGTACGGCGGAGAATTGAGAAGCATCGCTCTCATCTCGAATGAAAAGTACGGCGGAGATTTCTTCTCTGTTCTTTTCGTTTCCTTACTTCTTGGATTTTCTCAGGAAACAAACAGGTACGTCGCAGAAGAAGAAGCTCGAAGTACAGCCGTTGATTTTCCTTTCTTGTACTTTCCTTTTGTTTCAGGGGTAAAATGGGAAACTAATTTTAGGAGGAAGCACCTCCAACCCCTAGGTGCTTCTTAGAAAATGTTTACTAGTGCTTCTACTTCTAACTAAAAGCATTTTTGTAGTGTATTTACTAATCTGTAATTAAATTGAGATGAGGTGGAATTTGATTAAGGAGGAATTGAAATGAGATGGAATCAGAATCAGTTCCCTGTTGAAGTTATTTACTAAAACTGTCCGGAATCGGAATACAATTTCATAAAACTGTTTACTAATTCAAAAGAATCGGAATATGAACTAGTATGATTACTAAAATATCCTTGTCTCAAATCAAATATTTTATGTACTTTTTTTAATAAAATTTGATATAGTATATAATAGTAAGAAAAAATTAAATTGCTTTTTTATTTCATAAACATACTAAAATGATTTTGTTTATTTTTTTTATAAATTTAAGTATTGACTTTAATATATAAATTTTCTCGCTCAAGTTGTAGTTTTTTCTCTTCGGCGTATGTAAGGAGTTGTGCATAATGTGAATGAGTATAGAATTATGCTTAATGAGCTAGAAGGATATGGAAAGAAATTGTTAGGAGCATTTTTAGAAAAATAAGTTTAGAGTTAAAAGAATAATCTTGGAAATAATGAAAGTAAGTGAGGGCATAAAGGGAAAAAAATTATCATTCCGATTGCTTGGGCAATCCGGAATCCAAATACCTTATATATGTTGGGAATCCAAATCCTCAAATTTCAGGAATTGGATTCCCTTTTTTGTGTGGGCCCCACACACTTTTGATTCCTCCCAATTTTAGTAAACACATGTATAATTTGTAATCAGAATCGGATTTCTTATTCTCATTCCGATTACGGGTTAGTAAACGCGCTATTAAAATATTTGCCAAACGACCATTTTTTTAAGGGAAAACTAATGAAAATGGCTTCAAAATTTTGAGTTTTAACGATAAGGACAAAATAAAGGGTAAAATGAATAGTACAAGGATTGACCCTTTAGTATAAAAACGTGGTTTTCGTTAAAGTGAACAGTACCGGGAGCTTTTCGTTAAAATTCCTTTTTTTTAAAACTAAAGTGCTTTTACTCATTAGGAAGCGCTTTTGACTCTTTCAAAAACACAACCAAACGAGCCCTAAATCAACGGTGATAAGCTATATCAACTGGTCCAAATCTCTGTTAACAAAACAAAACAATAAAAAAGTGATCCAAATCTCAAAATTTTGTTACATGGTTTTAAATTTCACAAAATCTCATTAGGTAAAAAAAGACATTACTAGTGTTTTTCAACCGAAATGTCAATTCCCATGTAATATGACATAGAAAGGCAACAAATGAAGTTGCTGTCAAATTTAACTGTAGCTTCAAATCTACTTTTAGTAACTAATAAAGGCTTTTCATAATTTTTATATTTATCTTTTGTTTTAAAATACTAATTACAACTATAAAAAGTAAATAATGTAATAATAATAGTTTAAATTTGACATATCGGTTAGAAAACAAAAATTAAAAAAAAGATCAATGTGCTACATGAGCCTTCAAATTTAAATTTTATGTTTAAAATTTGATATTTCCTTTGGAGATGGTCTTAGAGCATCTCCAAAGGAGATGTCAAATATAATATGTCCAAAATTTATTTAATGTCTAATGTGACAAATTGAATACAAGTGCTAAATTCTTTTTTTTTTTCCAATGGATGTATCAAATATTTATTTTATTATTTTATTAGGCCTAAAGTTACATTAACTATTAAAAAATATCAAAATTAACTGTAGTTTTTATTCTATTAGTTGTTAATGAGACCCATGTATTAAAAATTTCAATTAAATATATTTGACTCTTTCTTTGTTTGCCATAAAAAAAGGTAACTAGAAAATAAGGAGTCAAATGACTCACATGCCACATCATATATGGCATATCCATTGAAGAACATATAAATGTCTTTTAATTCTATTTGGCATATTTGACATCTTCTTTGAGCATGGTCTTAGGAGTCAAATTTGACATCAATGTCAAATTTGTTTTTAATTAATTTTAATGGTGAATCCCTTATTCCACTAAAATTTCAACCAATAGAGTTTGTTTCAACATTGTTTTAATAATTACAACCATTTAAAGCTATATTGCAATAAGAAAATAACATTTGACAATTCGATTGGAGAAGTACAAAGTTTGATATAGGGATTCAGATTACCACATTAGCCATCAATAATAATTTGACGGTTATAATCTAACATTTATTTTGGAGATGGTCTAACAAATCAAGTTAAAATTGAATTTTAATTTTTTGTAGAAAAGTAGTCAAACCCTAAACCCTTAATTTGCTGTAAGAAAATGTAGTCAAACCCCATACCCTCAATTTGCTGCAAGAAAAAAAGTAAGATCGGGAACATAAATAAAAGGCTGGCCTTGCTTAAATGTTTGGTGATTTACATAGCGTGTGAGTCGGAATGTCTAGCGGGTCCTTACCTAATGGGTATATATATGTGTTCTTTGCTGGGAATTAGGTGGCCAGGTATTCGTGTAATTGTCCATGTTCTTTACATCTTGGGTTGCAAGAAAAATACAACGTTATTCGCATGGGCTGGGATCGATGCAAGAAAATTTATTGCGAGCCTTGACATGATGATGCTCTTATTTTCATTCTCATTATATTTGGTATTCGTCCACCAGTTCTTCAACAAGTAATCTTGTAATCACGTCAAGAAGTCAAACACAATCTCCACTTGCCATCAATGAGGAAGGAGGGGATACCTACAAGAAAACACTCATGCTCAAATCAGTGTTTGTTCAAGATGATTGCAGTATATTATAAGTGTTTGATCATGTTCCCTTATTCTAGTCCTGCTCCCCCAAGATTAGAATTCATCGAAAGTGACTCATTGCTTGAGCCTCCAACTTTTGCACTCACAGTTTCCCTTGAGATTCCTGCCACTGAAATTTCTTGAACAGCTTGGGTACGATTGTGAAAACGCGGATGGATAACTAGTGTAAAGAGACTAACAAACAGAGAGAGAGAGAGAGAGATTGAAATGCGACTTCATTTTCTTTTCTGAATTTGACAAATACTGCTTATTAGATCATATATATATATATATTTGAAAGCAATATTAAACAAACTTTTGCAATATAATAATATAACAAAGTACATGATATCATTTATATTCATGTTTCTTCCCCTTTTGGATTGAAAATATATCGAAGTAATTAAACATGATTTAAATCAAGATTCAATAGTACAATTGCGTAGACGAATAAAGAGGGTTGCAAAGAGAACTGGAATATTTAGACCCTTTTTTCCAGGAAAATAAATCTTGCACAAGAGGGACAATAGGCTTTTTCTTCATTGTTTTCTTCTCTCTTTTCCTTCCGACATAGTCGTAGTAGCCGACTCCGACATGGTCGTAGGTAGCACCAATGCTCAATATTTGAGCCAAAGACGTAGAGTTCTCCATTCTTTTCATCCACTCCCTCTTATTCCGCTCTTCAACATTATCTCCCGTAGTAGTACTATTTGGTGATGATGATCTAGTAGTCGTAGACACATGCAGCACGTTGCTCGCCTTTGCTGCCGCATCCGCCTCCGCTCGAGCCAACTTGGACATGTTCTTGTGAAGCTCCGCGTTCAACGACGCCAGTGCCACCTCCGTTTCTGACTCCCTCTTCTTCAGCAACTTCAGCTCCACCTTTGTTTCCTCGAGCTCCGCCTCAAGCTTCTTAAGAGTGTCGATAACTGCTACTTTCTCCTCGCGATCACCATAACTACTAACTCTTACTTCTTCGCTTTCTTTAGAGTTCGGCGGTGAAAACTTCCATGACGGAGTGGTAGTAGGGCTACTTTGGACAATATTATTGGTGTATAGGGGTTTAGGGGATGAAAACATTTCTCCGAGAAGAAGGCGCTCGTCAAAGATCGCGACGGCTTCTTTGACGGAGCGGAAGGGTCGGGCAGTGTCGACATTGGCGTTGTAATCGTTAATATGAGGTAGGGTTAGGGCAGCTGCTCCACCTGCTGGGTTTTCTTCAGGAAGCTGCAGGGAGTGCTGGGTTTCCGATTCCATGGATATGTGTGCGCTAGGTGGAAGGAAATGGTGTGTAGGAATTAAGGTCATGGAGATATATTTCTTGATGATCGGTAGGGTTTGGTTTGGCATGGGATTTCTTTGCTTGCACTTCAAAACTTTGACACAGAGAGAGAGATTGTTTCAAGGTTAAGACAAAATGTCGGGGAGGATAGGGAGCATGAATAAAAGGTGGACGAGGACATGATAACAACTCCATGGGCCGCCTATGGATACTGCCCTCACCCACCCACCCGACCAATTCCTTTTTTTTTTTATTTTTTTATTTTTTTAATTTTTATTTTTATTTTTTTTATGTGTGTGCGTGAAGGAAAATACAAATTTTAGAATGGCAAATGCTAGGGAGATATGTTTTTTAGTTTAGGCCATCATTTGTAGACAATATCATGTGGTTCAAAAATATAGTTTAACATAGGTAAATGGGTAAAGTAAGAGCTGAAATTTCAATGCAATGAAATAAATTAACAAGACGGCGTGAGTTTCAATCTTATCAACGATTACTCTAACATATAATTTAACAAAATATATTGTTTGACATAAAAAGGAAAAATAAATTAACAAGGTGAAAGTGCTTTAATTTTTCCTATGCACACTACTGCTGAAGCAAAGGGGCAAGATTGCAATGAAAATTGAAAATGGCGACAAAATATTTTCAAATAGGGTACTTCAAATAGACATTAAATTGATCGTGAATTCGTATTAACATATGTAACTTCATGAAACACTGAATGATCCGTCACTAATCCAACTTCATATTATTTTCTAGGCTTAAATATCAAAGTAGTCCCTATGTTTAGTGTATTGGCTAATTTAGCTCATATGTTGTCAATTTGGTCAATTTAGTCAATACGTTTATCTTTGTTAGTCAATCAAGCATATTTAATTCAATTACTGCTAAGTAAGTCAAACTATTACAAAGTTATTTATAAAAAAATTACCTATTCAATTTAAAATATTCAATACTGAAATTTAAATAAAAATCTGTACAAAACATTGGGTGAGACCCTTCTATCCTCCCCAGCCGTCTCCCCCACCCCCTCTCCACCAAACCCTAGACTCATTATATGAATAAATGAGAAATGGAGGACAAAGCCGTCAAAGGAAAAGCAACTAGTGTTGACTACTCTCAAGGGAATAAGTTCTTGGCGGCTGATCAGACTAAATTAATACGGTAAATTACACAGAACTACCTTAACTATTGGGTCATTAACAGTTTCATACCTCGTTTTTAAAAAAGTTTCAATGTCATACCTCATCTACGAATTTGTTACAATTTCATACCTTCTATCAGTTATCTTTCAATTCCTCCGTTAAAATGCTGACGTGGCAAGTGACAGGACTCATTTTCTATTAAAATATTAATTAAATATTTATAAATAAATAAAAAGAAAGAAAGAAACCCAAACCCAGATCCCAACCCCCTTCCCATATTCCCTATCCGTCCCCACTTCCAAACACAGAACAACCCCCCACCCCCCTGCGCCCTCTCTTCCTCCATCTCCTCCTCCCTCCCATGGCGCTCCTCCCCCTCCTTCTCCTCCTCCGCACCCACCCTCTTCCCTCCTCTACACACCACACTTCTTAAATCTACACCCATTCCTCGAATTCAAAACCCCCAGTTTGTCTTCCCCCCACCCCTTCTCCTCCCCCCCTCACCCCCACCCGAGCCTAACCTGCAACCCAAAAAAAAAAAAAAACACCCAGATCCCTTCTTCCCCTTCTTCCCCCTTCCCTGCACCCACCATCAAGAGGAAGATGAAGATGGTTTTTTTTTTTTTTTTTTTTTTTTTTTTTTTTTTTTTTTTTTTCTGGGTTGAAGTTTGGGCTCAAGTGGGGGGAAAGGTTGATCAAGAGGGGGAGGGGGAGGAGCACCTTGGGAGGGAGGAGGAGATGGAGGAAGGGAGGGCGTGGGGGGTATCTGGGTTTGGAAAGGGGGACGAATGGGGAAGATGGGAAGGGGGGATGGGTTTTAGGGGGGGATGGGATCTGGGTTTGGGTTTCTTTCTTTTATTTTATTTATTTATTTTTAATAAATATTTTAATAGAAAATGAGTCTCGTCACTTACAACATCAACATTTTAACGGAGGAATTGACAGATAACTGACAGAATGTATGAAATTGTAACAAATTCGTAGATGAGGTATGATATTGAAACTTTTTAAAGACGAGATATGAAACTGTTAATGACCTAATAGTTGAGGTAGTTTTGTGTAATTTACCCAAATTAATATTACGCGGTCAAGAATTAGCAATTGATGACAAGAAGGAAGAGTTTGCTAATAAAAGGTCATAATGAATCCAAATGAGACAAATTATCAGCAACAAAATTATTTTCACGGTAAATATATCAAATTTCACAAAATTAACTTTGATTCGTAAGAGCACAAGAATTCCAATACCGAACTTTCTATCTACTTTAGCATCTAAAATCAATTGTATTGCAAGTGCATAATCTTCTTAATTCCAATTAATTTTGTGCAATGTTCATTTCTTTCTATTAATATTATTTGTTATTTCTAATTATATTTATTTCCAATCTAATTTATTAATAGTTTAATAAAAAAATATAACATAACAAACACGAAAACTAAATACATAAATTATATTGATCAAATTAAAATACATGAACTAAATTGGCCAAAAACTAGAACACTAAGATCATTTTAGCAGTCAAAGTTATTTTTTATTAGGATGATTTTTGTTTTTGGAAATCCAGGAGGATCCTCGTCGGATCTTCTTTACGAGGATTCTACGGATTTTTCGATTACATCCGTTTATTATGCAGTAAAAAATTATTGTAAATTTTTTATTAAAATTGAATATAAACATTACCTGACCGTATGATATAGAGGATTCGGCGAGAATCTCACTCTTTTGAAATGACATTAGATGCAAAGTTGGGCCCTACGTACAAAGCAACTTTTACGCAAACATGTATTTCGTGTAAAAGGGTAATTTAGGCATTTCGTGGGTACCGTGTTACAGCTCGTGATTGGTTCGTGCTACCGCCACAGTGGCACGTATACAAATTTCTTCTCGCACTTCGACCTTGTTCAGTTTCTGCGACGGTCTGAAAACAAAAGAAACGAAAAATGGCTCCGAAGAAAAAGCAGACCACGACGAAGCAGAGCAGCAGCAAGTCTAAAACGACGTCGTCGGCACCGAGGCTCCAGATTTCGGCCGATAACGAGAACCGGGTCCGCCGGCTCCTGCTCAACTCGGGGCGGTCCAACGCCCCGGCGGCTCCGGTCGACGAGTCTCTTTCCAAGGCTCAGAAGACGAAGAAGCTCAAAGCCGTGTACGAGAAGCTTTCCTGCGAAGGCTTCACGAACGATCAAATCGAACTCGCTCTTTCTGCTCTCAAGGTAACATCGATGATCAATCCTAACCCCTGTTTGAATGCTGAGAAAATGTTTGGCAATAATCAGTTGCAGCAATTCTAGTTGAATGCTATTGATTTTAGGGTTTTACGGAATATTAGCATATTTATTAAAACTGACTAGGAATTCGAATCCGGAACTCAGTAGCGTGTATGCATTGTATTGGATGTAGGAGGGTGCTACATTTGAGAATGCTGTGGACTGGTTGTGCTTAAATTTGACTAGTAATCAGCTGCCACTGAAGTTTTCTACTGGAACTTCTCTGCACACAAGTGAAGGTACATTTTACCTCATTCCGAATGCAATGGATATACTGCTGTAAATGTGATTTTTTTTTTTTTTTTTTTTTTTTTTTTTGTGAATGCAATTTGAGCATTTATGTGCTATTTTGTGTTTAAACGTATGTTGTTATAATAATTCCATGTCCAGGTGGTTCTGTTGGCGTCATATTGACTTCTCGGGATGACTGGACTCCCTCGGTGGATACACATACCAAGATTGATGAGGATGCACCGAGAATTGCTATTAGAACCAAGGGACATCGGGATGATAAGACTCTTGATTTGTTTCAACCGTCTCAGGCAGATTGGATCAAACGATATGTCGAGCAACAACAAGAGGTACATGGATAGAACCACTAACAGATTCATCACATTTTCCTTTTACTTTTGAGAAGTAACAAACTTTACTAGTATCAATAAAATTACAACTTGAGGAGTCCACGTAGAAAAAATAAAAAGCAAAAAACAAACAACTGGCATCTCTTTTGTACAGTACATACCAATGAGGAGAAATATACCAATAGAGGTTTCTTCTTGTTATCATTTTGTGGTTGGCAAAGTGAAAAGAGTGAGGTTTGGGAGGAGAGTTGGGCTGGGAATTCAGCTGTAGTCTACTTGTCGCTATAGATTGCCTCAATTCCATAATCTCTGTATTGAAATAATTTGTTTGCGTCCTTCTTTTTATGCTTACTTTGGGCCCTGAAGAAACCTAAAGATCAGGTGGGGTGAGTAACCTTACCTACTGTCTTCCTACAAAATTTTCTGTTTGGTACCTGCTTATGATGGGAGAATATGGAGTTTGAATTCGTTATGTGCATTGTCTTGTAGATCGATTTCAAGGGAGATAATGCACAAATCTCCTTCTCCATTTATTCCCTTAACTGTATTTTGAAGGCTAAAGTACCACACTTAAGGTTCGGTTGTTGCCTCTGATACTTGCTCACCGGAGGTTGGGTACTTGTGATATGGTTCAGAGGAGAAGACCTTCTTGTCTAGTTAGGCTGAAAGTTTGGAGCACTTGCTTTTCACTTTGTTGTCTTTGCAGTAAAGGCTTGTCTATGCAGTAAAGGCTTGTCTTTGCAGTAAAGGCCGGTTAAGTTGCGTGATTTCGGTGTCATACGCTGCTTTGTTGTGTGAGAGGCATCTGTTTTTTCTTTTGGAGGGAAGAAGAGGGGAGTGGTTCTGGGGAGGCTCGTTGTGATGCCTTTTTTTTTGGGTAGTTTTGGTGTGATGATATTAGAACTTATCAAGTGAATAATTGGGGGAGATAGTATGATTTTGGGGATCATTATGTGCTTCAGTGTCTCCAGAGTTCAGGAATTATTCTTTTTCTGTGATCTTGAAATCTTGTCTGATTAGAAAGCAGTAGTATCTTAGAGTCTAATACCCGTCATCTGTGATATTTTGGTGTATTTTATTTGGATCTTAATGTTTCTTAGAGATGGCTAGTCAGATCTTGATCATCTTATAGACCAGCTTATGCCTTATCTTTTGTGGAATCCTTGATTTTGTGACCTTATATAAATTTTGTGGAAAATTTTAGGTGTTGACTGATGCTTAATATATTTATCAGTTTTTATTCCTGTAGTAATTATCTCGATATTTATGTAAAAGAGAATCTAATAAGTAATGATTTTCAGGATGAGTCCACAACTTGGGAGGATGATGCCGATGAGGCTTTGACTGAGAAGGTATTTTCATTTTACTTCTGCTGTACTGGTGGAGTAATTGCTAGCATGTCTTTTCATCATCTTACTAACAGTTGTCGACAAAATTCAACTATCTTAATAGGTTCTTAAACCAAGGTCTTATGATCTTATTGCCAAAGAGTATCATGCTGCACGATTGGAAGCTGCAAAAGCCAAGCAAAACCGGGACAAGCAAAGCCAGGAACGGGCAGGCAGCATCATCCGCAATCTCAAGCAAGAGTTATCTGCACTAGGTTAAACTTTTACTTTTCTTCTGATTCAAGTTAAGCTTACTGGTGAATTATACCTTCTCTTATGTATTTCTATAATATATGCATCAGGGTTATCAGACGACATATTGGCATCAGAATTTGCAAAGGAACAAGGTTCTGCTCCTTCTGAGGACACATATGATAGTCCTTGTAAGCAGTCTGAAGGAGGCTTTGCTGATGATTTAATAGCTGACGAAAGTGATACAGAGCACAGTGGCTCTATTCATTCTCCAGTCAATTCTACTCCAAGTGTACCTGTCCAAGGAAAGATTGTTGCAGAAGAAGAGTCAACAGATGTGGAGATTGGTAATTTCTTCTTAGAAGATGGGCCATCTGCAGATGTTCCACCTCCTGAAATTTTGGAACTACAGAAGAAAGAAAGGATGAGGGAAATGTCTAGCGAGAAAAATTTGGAGAAATTAGATGGTATTTGGAAGAAGGTAGTGTATGTAATGATCTTGTTAGACCTAGGACCATATGTGCAGGATTTTTAAAATACGCAATATCTGATGCCTTCCTTTTCTCATATTTCTTGTTTTTTAATCCACATTTTAAATGGAAAATAAATCTCAGTAGAGTACAATAAAATGGTGAAAGTGTGGTTATCTTTTTGTTATTTAATTCTTAACCATGCGATATTGAATTCATAGTTCTTATGTATTTACTTTTGTGATCACATATTTAGTGTTTTCTGCAGTACTTTATATGTGGCTTTTTATCATTTATGCTTATTGTTTTTTGATAGGAGTTGTGTGCCTGTTAATATATGGTTTAATTGATACCCCATGTTATGCCATTTCATGATATGGTCTGATGATGACAGGGGGACTCTCGAAAGATTCCCAAGGCTATTCTTCATCAGTTATGTCAAAGATCCGGATGGGAAGCTCCAAAGTTTAATAAAGTGAATGGAAAGCAAAATAATCTCTCTTATACTGTCAGCGTTTTGCGTAAAGCTAGTGGGAGAGGTAAAAGCAGAAAGGCTGGGGGCTTGGTCACCCTTCAGCTTCCTGAACAGCATGTAACTTTTGATTCAACTGAGGTGATCACTTACACCTATGAATGTAACTTTGGGGTGTTGGAGAAAACATGCCTAGCACATGTTTTTAATTATTGTTTTCTTGAATAGGCTTATGTGGTAGATGTTGAGGCAAATACCTATGCATATGTGTATATAAATGTATGTGTGCATGAATCACAGAAACAGAGGAGAAGAAGTCCACTGCACTAAAGAACTCCTTACAAAACTAGAAAACAAAAACACAGCAAAATGTACCCAGAAAAACAGAAACTAGCACTAGGAAGCAGCAGTGAAAAAACTGCTCCTAACATCTGGAGAAACGAAAGCCCATAATGAAGCCCAAAATTGAACCTGTCTCTCACAAGTATTCTTTCTTTTTCATTCCTAGGACCATCAAACACCATGCTATTAGGTTCCCATGCAAATTACCTGAAAACAGCTACTATAGCACATATCCTCAGGGCCACACCCTTCTTTTGTACCTCCAAAATACTTGTGCTTTTGAGTTCTGACATAATAAATCGTGAATTTTGACCTTTGTTATGAATATAAATGTATGAAAGATGTTGTAAGACATGTATTGGATGTTTCGTTATATTGTTGTCTATTACTCATGTTTATTACTCTGTATTATGCTTTGACCTTTGAGGGTATTATGGTGATGGTCTTGCAAATAATTTTTATGTAAGTATAAATATATACTGTTCTCGCATCGGGAAAATTTTGCTGAAAATTTACTCACCTAATCACATGATTTTTTTTTTAATCACAGGATGCACAAAATAGAGTGGCAGCATTTGCTCTTTGTCAACTGTTTCCTGATCTCCCAGTTCACCTACTAATTATTGAGCCTTATGCTTCTCTAGTCATTCAATGGATGGAAGGTGTGGATCTTTATTCTTGTTCTATAACTCATAACTCTCTTTTCTAAAGAGAGGATGAAGATCTCTTATAAAATTTATTGAATGAGTTGATGTAGTGAACCTTTGGTTGATTGGTTCCAATACCAATATTGTTTCTACATAGTTTCAATTGATGTGTACCGTCCAAGTGTAAAATCGGATGATTCTGTTGTAAACTTTTTTTTGTTACATCTAAAATCAGGGGAATCATCAACGAATGTGGAAGATAGTGAGGAAGATCGAAGAGCTGCTTTTGTGGACTCACTTTTGAGAGTTGATGGTTCTGCTTCAACTTCTGCTGCTAATGTTACGAATGATATTGCTCCAGACAAGGCTCAAGAACTCCATATTGAACAACCTATAAGTGCAGGTGTTGCTTATGTTGATTTAGCAGCTCAAAGTACGTGCTTGCACTCCTCTCTTGGTTGCATTGTTGAACAAACGTTGCTTTTATTCCGTTGCTTGTAGTGGAGTCACTTCTTATCAGTTCCATACTTCCATACTTCCATTCCATATAACGTATATAGGAAACAAGAAGTGCATGTTCATCAATGAAAATAAGTTTACTTCTTGTCCTTTAAACTTTCTGCTGTATCTTACTTTTTCTGTTATCCATCAATGAAAAAAATGTATCCACATGTTAGGCCCAGTTTGACCTTAGCACTCAAAATTATTGATCTACATGTTGGGTTCTGTCTTGCACATTTGAACCGGTGTGTTGAGAATATTGGAATCCCACATTGGGTATTTGAAGCCTGGAATCATATATATATGTATGTATATAATTCCAAACCTTTCTACTCATGACCACAAGAACCCTAAACCCTGATGTCCAGGATTGAACTCTGTCTCGGAGAATGGAACATAATTGTTTTTGGGCCAAAATATAATTCTGTAGCTGAGATCTTAAGCTAACTTGACTACTCATGTGGGTTAATGAATCAGAAATTTGATGGCGTGTGGTGTTATCTTTTGTCAATGAATATAAGTGTAATCCTATCTAATGGTTGATTTTTTGCAGGAGTACATCGTCTCAAGGAAGTGGAGAGCACTTATTTGAGACAAGAACTGGAGAATAAAGTGAAAAATCCAAAATTCAAGGTTTTTGTTGCAATTTGTTTGTTTCAAAAGATTCTGACCTGCCTTTATTTATTGATTCTTGTTGCTCACCGCTGGGTGTACTGACGTCAGTAAATTAGTCGTTAGAATAAATAAAATGCTGCTATGTCATTTGATGAACAAACTTGGTGACCCTATTTCTTTCTTTTTTCTTGTCCGCCCTTGTATTCATGGACTACTTGTCCATGCTTTTTGTACCGAGGGCGTTCTAGGATGGTTGGATTTGTATGTTTTTTCTATTTGTTTTAGTTGCTTCATGGACTACTTGTCCATGCTTTTTGTACTCTTCGTGTTTTCTCCAAATAAATCTTGTGTTTCATACAAAAAGAAGTACTTAACTACATGTTTACTTGTTCTAGGACATGTTGAAAACTAGAGCTGCACTTCCCATTGCTGGTTTGAAGGGTGATATACTGCAACTGCTGAGTGAGAATAATGTTCTAGTTGTTTGTGGTGAAACAGGTTCTGGAAAAACAACCCAGGTGGAAATCTACCTTTCATTGGTTTTGCATTATTATGATTTTGGTATTGTAATACTTTTTGAAGTTCTAAGGCTGATTAGAAATTGTTTTCTCTCCTATTTTCCATACTTTTAGGTTCCGCAATTCATATTGGATGACATGATCAAATCGGGACATGGTGGAGATTGTAACATTATATGCACACAACCAAGGAGAATAGCGGTGGGTGCAATCTTCTCTGCTGGAATGTACGACACTGCATTAGGTCCCTTCTGTTTAAAGTTTAAAGCAAAATTCCTGTGACATGACTGGATGACCATCACATGCATTGCACCAGAAAAAAAAATTATACTTTCAGTGTTGATCTACACATTCTCATTAGGACCCGGTTCCTGGTTTCTCATGTGGTTTTTTTGTCTTTCTCCTTCACACTAGGTAGCACTGTTTTAGGGTATTTCCTGAAAGGGTGAAGTATTCTTGTAGTTTGTTCAAGATATTTTTTGCATTTGTAAATCAGCATATATACCTTTACAATCAAATGATCATAACCATGGAAATTTCAGTTAATAATCCTTATCTGCATTCCTAAGTTTCTATTGAAGCTTCCATTTTATGAACCCACTGATATCAATTAGGTGGAAGGGTTTTGCTGAGATGTTTATGGCCTTTTGTATCAGTGTGAACTGTTGATATACTTTCGAAAGCTTATTGTGTTCGATATTATTCCTTAGTTTAACAGGCCACGTGAATTGGCTCTCAAAAGAGAAACACCCTTCATAGGTGAATTAGGTTGTATGAATTCTAGCTAGGGAAAATAGTGTCATTTTCAAAAAATGGTCGTGGTTGTGTGTTATGAACATATGTAAGAAGATTTTAATTTATTCACTAGAATCCTTATATGCCCAAAATTATCAATTGACTTTTCCTTGCTTATACTGAAAATTGACAATGTTTCATTAAATTAACAAAAACAAGTTACATTTGTATGGAGGAAATAAATTTGATAGAGCTTGAAAATTAATGTTGGTAAAACCATGAATTTCCTTTATATATTAGTCTGTATTTGCGGTGGACTCTGCTCTGGCAAATTTTAGAAGATATAATGGTTCTAACTACTTGCTCATGTGAGTATGGTTTTTATTTATTTTTAATTTTTTTAATTTTTTTGGTATTGTAGGCTATCTCTGTGGCTGAAAGAGTTTCTGATGAGCGCTGTGAACCTTCACCTGGTTCAAAAGGTTCTTTGGTTGGTTATCAAGTTCGTCTCGATAGTGCAAGGTGTTACTTTTTTTTGTTTGTTCAACTCATTTACATGAAACTACACCATATGAATGTGAAAGTTTGTGTCTTTTATGTTTTATCTGCACTAGTATAGACATCTATTAATCTGTCTGATCTTTTGGTTATGCTTGTATGCCAAAGTTTTCATTACTTTAATTTTCTTATTATTATTTGCATCTTGGTGGTTTTTTGTTTTGTCACCAAAATTTTCGTTCTGGTTTTCTCTTATGTCAGCAATGACAAGACTAAGCTTCTCTTTTGTACGACGGGCATTCTTCTGAGAAAATTTGTGGTAAGACTTCAATTTAGTCTTCTTATTTAGAAACTAGAGGACTGTACATTTCATTGCCAAATATATTCATGTTGTTGACATCATCGGAGATAAATCACTTTTTTTTTTTTGAGTTCAAAGTACGATAAATCACTTGTTAGTTTTCACAACTGAAACCCTTTCAACTGATATTCAAGGGGCTTAGGCTTAGTTCACATATTTGTAAAAAAGGACTTTTGTTCTGGCCCTAAAATTTGTAAAAAATGGAGTGGACGGCTGTCTATCTTTTGTTTATGTATGTCTGAAGTTTGCTTTGAACTCCTTAGTCACTCGTGACTAAATCATTGTTCACCAAATGTGGGTTCAAAATCCAATGACTGATATTTAAAATCCTGGTAATGTAATTTTATTTCTTGAATAAACTGTTGAATTTTAACGATGGTCATTGAGCATGAATATTTGTGCCCATTGGTTAGTGCAAGATCATGACTTGTATGTATCTTCAGCAATACACTTATTGTGTGGCATGAGTGATGAAACTTCTTTCGCTTAATGCTATACCTGTTGAAAATCTCATTGAAGATACTAAACAAATCTTATACTTACAGCTTTTCATTTGCAGGGGGATAAAAACTTGACAGGAGTTACTCATGTCATAGTTGATGAAGTACATGAGCGGTCTCTTTTGGTGAGTAGTAGCTTTAGTAGTTTATAGGTTCCCATGGTGGTTTTGGGAAATATTTGTTGGTATTATTCATGCTCATGGCCAGCACAAATCTTCCATGTCCTCCAAAAAAAAAAAGACATGACATCCTCTAACTATTTTGTGATCCCATGATTCTTATATATAAGAAGCAAAAATTTCATTAAAAGAAAGAAACAGTGATTTGTATCTTGTATCTTCTGCTATGCTATATTTTTTCTTTTGAATGAAAATCATAATTTTTTGTTTTTTGAACAATAGGTGAAAGAGGTTGACTCCTTTGGTTTACATCTTTACTTTTTCTTTTTTGAAATGTTATGGATGAACAATACCAAGTGAAGCTTAACACAGCTGGTTTTTGCCTTTCATTTTTCATGGGAGGAAAGGGGAGGTGGGGGCAAGTACAGATGGTGGATGTGTGTTATGGAAACAGCACATAACTTTTAGTGGTTCACAGATTGTTTTCCCTTTCTGAGTGTCGTCAGAAATTCATCTCCCGGTTGAGAAATAGAGAATGTTATAGAAGAGAAATACCACATAACACTTTGTGTAATTTCATTTTTACTTTTACTGGGTTCACAAATCATTTTACTTTTACGTTTTCCTGAGTGTTGTCAGAATATGTCTCCTTGTCAAGGGATGAAATTAAGAAATAAAGTGTAACCTGGTAAAAAAAGGAATTCTAACAGATTGATATTTTGTTTTGCTTCCTATAAACAGGGTGATTTCCTGCTCATAGTGTTGAAGAATCTGATTGAGAAGCAATCAGCTCTTAACACACCAAAACTGAAGGTTATTCTGATGTATGTTTGTACTACATTTCCTCAAATTTATATTACATAAATGTGTATGTTTAGAAAATTGTGTTGATTAGTTGACCTCCCATTTATACAGGTCTGCAACTGTTGATTCAAATTTGTTTTCGAGATACTTTGGTAATTGCCCAGTGATTACTGCAGAAGGAAGAACACATCCTGTCACAACATACTATCTTGAGGATATCTATGAAAGCATAGATTATCGGATTGCTTCAGACTCTCCAGCTTCCATGAGATATGGAGCTTTGACCAAAGAAAAGGTGACCCAAATTGTACACCTCTCTTTCATTCTTTTCGTCTTTTAATCCTGAGAAGTTTCTCTGTTTTCCAAATCTCTTTAACTTTCCTTTTCTATGGATTCATATGCAGTAAATTCTTTGAATATTTGAATTATCACATATTACATGTCTACTTTGGGAAATAGGATCACCTATGTTTTTGGTTCTAATATTGGGCTAATGTTCGAAACAACATCGTTTGGGGGTTTAAGGGTCAAGCATTTTGGTATGAGCGTTTAATACTTGATTGTGTCAGACAAGTTCTAAACCCTCATTCCAAAATACATATAGAGTTGTAAAACTACGTAGTTCTATGAATGAGCACAAGGTCAACACCAAAACGATCATTACAAGATTTGAATGCCTGTATAGAAACCATGTTATATGTTTGCAACGTTTTATTGGACCTGGTTATTCAGTGTTCACTCATAATTTTTTGATGATGAGTACTTGTTAGTCTTCCCAATATTTATAGTATTACTATACACACTAGATTGGAATTTGGGTTGAATAATTGCAGCCATATTATTCCACAAAATTTTCTTTTAATTTCTTTGAGATTCTTCTACTATGGTTAAGTCATGGTCACGCGGTAACATTTTGATGTTCATTACCTCTAATTTTTGAATTCCTGCATTTTGAAAACACCAGGCTGGTCCTGTAAACAACCGCAGGGGAAAGAAGAATCTTGTTTTATCTGGTTGGGGTGATGATTCTCTGCTCTCTGAAGAAACTGTAAATCCGTATTATGTACCGGATAGTTATCAATCGTACAAAGAGCAAACTCGACAAAACTTGGTAATTGCCTTTGAGATTTAGTTTCTGGAGATGTGGTTCATTTTCTTTCCCTCCTCATAAGGGGACTATATAACATGGTAATCAAAATTTGTACAGCAAAGAGTGAATGAAGATGTCATTGATTATGACCTTCTTGAAGACCTGGTATGCCATGTTGATGAAACTTGCAATGAGGGAGCCATACTTGTCTTCTTGCCTGTAAGCCATCCACCTCTTCACACTTTTGTGCCCTTATAGTCATACATGTAATTGTGTTTGCCTCGCCACTAATAACATGTTACTATTCTTGTACTTAAATGATGCTTAACAGGGAGTATCTGAAATATACACTTTAGTTGATAAGCTATCTGCTTCATATCGATTTGGTGGACCAGCTTCTGATTGGATTCTTCCACTACATTCTTCTGTTGCATCAACTGATCAAAAGAAGGTGTTTTTACGGGCTCCTGAGAACATACGGAAGGCATGTTTTTCCACTTAATTTCTTCTCTCTTTTGCTCTTTATTTATTGTTTTACCCTTTTATTATGGTACTTGTTATACATTTTGAGTGTTCTTCATTAGATTGTTTGTTATACTTTTTGAGTGGTTCTTCATTAGATTGTCGTCTACTCAGCACTTCTTATCTTTACATAAATGAAAGTTTTTAGCGTATGTACTTGTTACAGCAATTTGCTTACAGTTGTTTCATAAAACATCATTTAAGTTCAGGGTAAAAGATGAAAGTTCATTTAAACTTAGGTAATGATAGCTGGATATTTCATTAGAAAATAAATGAAATAAATGAATTGAGGTGATTACCAAAGTCCAACCAAAGTAGAAAATAAAATTTAAGGTGAACCTCCAGTCTTGGAACTAAGAGTTTAAACTTTGGAAGAAGGAAACTTGAAAAGATTTCACATTATCTTTTCATGTGTATATCCTGTAGCGGGTTTTTTTTTCATGTTTCATGAATCAGTTTTTAATGTTTTGTAATTATAACCCAAATAATTCCATCAGCAGAGAGAATGGAGTTGGAAAAATGATTTTGGCCGAATTTTGTCTTCATCCAGTCTGGCTGATTATTCATATTGAGGAAGGCAGATCTAGATGGACAGCTTTGCTCAGATTATCTACCAATTTTTTCATATTGGAAAATGGAACTGTTTTGTCGAGAAAAAAAAGAGTTGCAGAAATATAAAAATGTATTCAAAAGCAGTCAACCAAGGCAAAGTGTACTAACATATACAAGCTAAACAACAACCAATGCTTTAGCCCTGCTCAATTAAAATGAATAACAAAAACAATTCATGAAATGCTTACATTGATTAAAACATTGATATGTAAATAAATTTTAGTGCATAATGCTTTTGTTTGTGTTTGACTTGCTATAAATTTCATTGATGTTTTGTTTCAATATCTTAATAGGTCATTGTAGCTACAAACATTGCTGAGACCAGCATAACAATAGATGATGTGGTATATGTTATAGACTGTGGAAAGCATAAGGAGAATCGTTATAATCCACAAAAGGTTTGTTGTTTTAATGTTTTTAATGAATGACCATGTGATTCTTTTGATTTTGATTGTGACCTTCATAGTATTTTAGATGTGAGCTGTATCTATATTCAGATACATCATACATATTAAGCCTCTCTTTTTGCAATAATTTCGGTACTCCTTCAGATTTGTACTTTATTCTATATTTGTTGCTAGAAGCTTAGTACTGTATGGAAGGAACCCAATTTTGTATTGTTTTTCGTTTGGTGCTAGTGCTAAACATTTCCATTTCCATGGAAGCCCACTGTATAATCTATTTCGCACTCCAGATTTCATTCTTAACACATGGTAGGTTTCATACCGTTCTGGTTTTACCTTCAGAACATTGTGTTATCTAATAATGGTTTCAGTAGAACTGACAAAGACGATAGAACTACACTAGTTTGTGCGCGCACGATGTCTCTCACTTTTGTTCTCCTGATAACCATCCTTGCCCCTTTGCCAGTTTGCAACTTTGCATCCACTCTTCTTGTCTTCACTCTATAAAATCAAAATAAAAGGTCGACCCTGAAGAAGTTGAATCTAATTTTGGGTTATACAATGTTCTTTCATTTGGCATATTGGAAAGCTGCTGTTTGTTATCTATCTAAACATTTTTATTTACTTTTTGCTGTTTGAGGGACAATATATTGTTCTAATTCGGTTATGTATTGTTGAATTTGCCATCTTGCTCACTGTGAATGTTCTCAATTTTGTTTAGATATAAAATCTGTCTCCTAAAAGCGAAAAAAACTTGAGTAACTTAGAATCTCATTCTACCCTTTCGTTGCATATGTGTCTCCACTGGATTTATCAGCAGATACCATCTGCAGAAATTGTGTCTCCATGGATGTTAGAATACCTTTGGTGTTGCTGGGTCTAATATTTGGTTTGCTAACAACTGCAGAAATTGTCAAGCATGGTCGAAGATTGGATATCCAGAGCAAATGCAAGGCAACGGCGAGGAAGAGCTGGACGTGTGAAACCTGGAATTTGTTTTTGCTTGTATACACGTTATCGATTTGAAAAGCTCATGCGGCCTTTTCAGGTACTTGCCCCTAAAATGGTTTTCTAGGACGGGGCAATTTTCATATGCTTTCTACTGCTATCCACTTAATCAGTTATTTTATTCAAGTTTTTATATAAGAAACAGTCAAATATCGCTTATATAATTTCTAACTGTACTTTTACAATTATGCCAAGGTTCCGGAGATGCTTCGAATGCCATTAGTAGAGTTGTGTTTACAAATTAAGTTGCTTTCTCTGGGTTACATAAAGTCATTTTTATCCGAGGTAAGTCATGTTATATTTTTATAAGAGGTTTGTTTAATGATGATGTCATCTGACTGGTTTGGGTTGTGTACTTCTGTTATCAGGCTTTAGAACCTCCAAGGGAAGAGGCTATGACCTCATCAATTAAGTTATTGTATGAGGTATAGTTTTATCCATTCAAATCAGAACCACAATGCATGGTGACAATTGAATCTATGACTAAATCCTAAGGCTCTTCATTTTGTATTCACTTCTTGCTTTCTAACCTACAGTCACTAACAAGTTTATTCTGGTTCCATAATGATAAATTTGTCATACTGTTGATCGTTGTATTAGAGCAGAGTGAAACAAAATATTGTCTGAAATAGAAGAAAATGCCTAAGCATTAGAGGGAAACAAAATTTATTCTTGTTTTGTTTGTTTATCCAACACATCAGATGTCAACTTATAATTATTCTCTTTTAACCTTCTTTGGTCTTCCAATGCGTTAGTTGTCTTTCAACCTTCTAAACTAAAGCCAATTGCACATGCATTATGCACAAGGTACTTCCCCTCAATTACAATTCAAATTGAAGCGAATGTTTCATAAGATCAGAAGACCCTAGGCACAGCTCTTCAACACGATTTTTGAATTTTAAAACTAGAATCTGGAAAATGATTTTGCCAAAGAGTAAGACATTATTTGACTAGAAGGATGAGCCATATGACTGCCATAGACATTATTTCAGGCAGACAAAGCCTGAATTCAAGATGGAAAGGAAATTTGTAGAGACCATTCCTACTTAGGCCCTTGAAAGAGGAATGGAACATAGACTGATCAAAGACTTAAAAAATGGTTAGAATCAAAGACATTATTGTCGCGATAGAGTTGAGCAATAGACAACAGATTCCTATGCATAGGGAACAACAGAGACGTCATTTAACTGAAATAAGTTGGAGCCAAAGAAAAGTGACATTTTTCCTATACAGGAGATAGGCCTCTACTCACCATTGCCAAGGTAAATTGAATCATTTTACCAGTATAGGGAGGTGCTGTTTCGGATAACCAGTCATTTGGGTGGAGCCACTTGTTTTAGGATACCTGGAAGGGTCTTGTAAAGAAGCATGAGTATAGGAGGACCAGGAAAAATACCACGAAGAGTTTTGTACATGTATTTTTAATGAAGGTTTTTGTTTCCCACAAAACTAAAATACAACATTATTCTCAACAGCTATGGCATTGGTTTGAATGTGTTGTCCGTTCCAGATATAGATAAAAAGTGGAACTGATGAACTCTGGAAAAATAATCTGTCCCAGTTACGGGCTTCTTGATTTTGTTGCCAATTGTTCTAAGATCAATGTTAATTCCTACTTTTTTTTCCTTTCTTCCTGGGGAAGAGGTCAATCATTTTCTTTCTTTTTTCTCTTTGTTGTTTCTGCAATGAGTTTCTCCTGTCTTTTATCTTCATACTTTTATTTTCAAAACAGGCAAGTACTAAGTTTTCATAATTCATCATACTTTTGATTTATGCATATCCGCAATAAATTTCATTATTCTTTATCTAGAAAAAGCTGATTCTCTTTATTTGCATTAGTCATGGTAGTGGTAGAATCAGCTTTTGTGCATATAGTGAAAATTCTTGCAATTTATATTTGTGTAAACTCGTCAGCACATGCTCATTTACTTGGGCACCAAGAAGGAATGCCAACACACTGTAAGCGGAATCTTTACTGCTGGGTTTATTTTATAGGTTGGTGCTCTTGAAGCAGATGAAGAGTTGACTCCTCTTGGGCATCATCTGGCAAAACTTCCTGTTGATGTATTGATTGGGAAGGTATGCAATTTTCCTTCCCACACTTGATTGGATGCATGTGAATAACAACTGCAGCCTTCAAAAAGTAAAAGGCTATTTATTAGTCTAGGTCTTTACATTTTGGTACTCATGTGTTCAGGCGACCATTGTATGATGTTGATGTAAAGACTTGAAATTGCAGATGATGTTGATGTAAAATCTTTTGATACTGATTTCTCATGCTGTTTCTTTTGGAACTGCAGATGATGTTATATGGGGGAATATTTGGTTGCTTGTCGCCGATTCTCTCAATTGCAGCATTCTTGAGCTATAAATCTCCATTTATCTATCCCAAAGACGAGGTCCCTCTTTCAGTGCTGATATAAGTTACTGTCAATTATTTCAATAGAGAGGAACTTCAGTTATATACTTACCCTATATCACTACATTTAAATTACAGAGACAAAATGTTGAAAGAGCTAAATTGGCACTCTTGACTGGCAAGCTAGACGGTCCAAGTGAATCAAATGATAGTGACAGGCAATCAGACCATCTTATAATGATGAATGCTTACAGTAAATGGGAAAAGATTCTACGTGAGGTTTGTCATATGTTTGTTTGCACTTTGCATGCAAGGACTTGAGTGTGCATGTGCACACAAATCCTGAGGCCAATACCAATTTAGATCATATGTCATGAAGCATGATACTATTTGGTTGTTTCATGCCATGAGATCATAGCCACATGCTTCTTATAGCCTGCCTAAAGCATACGGGCATGCGAAGTTCTTATACCATTGCCGTTGAAACAGTTCAGTTGTTGAATGTATTCTGACATGTTATTGGTAGAACACAATGTTTGCTGACATGGAAAAGTTTGGTTGTTGTAGAAAGGCGTCAAAGCTGCTCAAAATTTTTGCAATTCATACTTCTTGAGCAGTTCTGTCATGTACATGATAAGGTGCAGTTTCTTTCTCCAGAACTTAATGTATCTGTATGTCAATGTTTGTTAAGAGTCCTTTTTCTTGTTTGGGTAGTTGTTATAATCCATCAACTCCTCTTCATATGTTTAATTATTCAGAGACATGAGGATACAGTTTGGGACTCTGCTAGCAGATATTGGGCTCATTGACCTTCCGAAAAAAAATCAGGTAGTGCTTCACCATTTCACTTTAGTAGTAAAATTAGTTTGTGCGATGCTGGAAATTTTAGTATTAAACTCCTTTTATTAATTTTTTGCTAGCCAGTGACTTTTTAACTCACGCTGTTAAGTCTGAGGATATACGATCACTCAGAGACCTTATAAATTCTTAACCAAAGTAAAATGTAATCACTCTAGAAAGTAGTAATACAACATGTAGGGTTCTGGTCACATGCATTATTTTTCATTGTTAATGATTTTATGGGTTTTTAAAGGGAAATGATTTCAGCACTCCTTTTCTCCTCCTGCACACCCCATTAATTTTTCTCCCTTGATTTTCCTTGGTTTTATTCGATCCAAAGGTCATAAACAAAATAGGGTATGCATGAAGGAAAAGGAGTGTGGAAAAATCCGTTCTCTTTCCAAAAAGGATCTAGTATTTTACAAGTCTCTTTTGTCGAGTGATGTAAATGATTTACTCCAATCACCGTTGGAGCCTAGATTTCTAACTGGGAAATCAAGGAAGCCTTTAGGGAGAGAGAGACCCATTACTGTACAGTTTCTCTTCCATTTGGATTGGATGAAAACATGCAAGTAAGAGAGAGAGAGAGAGACTCATTACTGTACAGTTTCTCTTCCATTGGATTGGATGAAAACTTGCAAGTAAACTTACAACTGAAGGAACACAGAATCAGCGTGAATAAACAAAAACAGCTGCCTGTTTCTAGTGTAGGATGAGTTAGGATTCAGGAAAGTGGGAAGGGGTATTCTAGTATACTTCCTATTTTTATTTATCAGTTTCCTGTTTCTAGAAAGATATGGTTTACTTTCCTGTTTGTAGCAAGATTTTGTCATTATAGTTCATCCATTGTAATTCAGTAGTGGCAGAATTGAATGGTTGGATACACAAATTTTTTTCCATGCATATCTTTCTCTCTGTCTTTCATCTACCTCTATCTTCCTCTCTAAACTCTGTTTTGAATACTCTGTTTCTGTTCTATTATCCTTATGATGTCTGTATTTATCTTCTTCTTCCCCTTCTATTCTTCTTCTCTGGATCCCTTATCCTCTTCTATTCTAAAATCATTGCTACTTTCTAAATATTCGTTACTTGTTCTACATCTGTTTCCTCCACCAACAATGCAGTGTTTCTTGAAAATGAAGAAACATGTGAAGCTGGAAGTCACCCCCCCTTCAACCTTGACTCTCTAAATATTTTTTCCCATTATGTCAAATCTGTGGAACAGTCTGTTCCTTAAAACTCCAAAGTTCTGCTGATGCCAAGATGTTGATCTGTTAGTCAGTCTTATGCTCCCATACGCTATTTTCTGCTACGCAAAGTTGCAAAATTTCTATGTCAGATAGTTTGCTATCCAGACTAAACTAGAGTTTTATCAGAAGCTTTGAGTTAAACCAAGGAACTGTGTCTTGCTTCAGGTTGATGGGAGAAAGAAAGAGAATCTTGATACTTGGTTCTCGGATGCATCACAACCATTCAATATGTATTCAAACCATTCATCAATTGTAAAGGTAAAACTCAATGTCTTTTAAATGTTTGTGATTTTGATGAAGTTCTTTCTGGCTTGATTCTGAGGAAGTGGTAGACTGATTTTTCTCTGTTTTTACGCATTGATCTGCGCTGTATATGGTAAAGTTTGGTCATTGCATATTATCTTGAATCAGCAGAGGATTGTTCTGTGCTCCTCACTTTATGTCATATGTCATGTTGCATTATTATTGTAATTATTATTTTTATTATGGTGTCTCTCTCTTGTGTGGGATTTCACATATTTCTTAGGGACCATTCTTTGGTTTACTTGAATACTTATTCATATTTCAGGTTTAGAGAACAGTACGTTATTGTAATGTAGCCTGGTAATGTTTTTAAACAACCAAGACAGTTAAGTTATAAAATCTTCCTTTGATATCGTACCAGTCATCTTCAAACAATTTTCTTTGAAGTTAGTATTCTTACTCACCCTACCTAACTCCATTATCGCTTAAGCTAAGGCTTAGGGTGAGATTAAATTAAACTTGTTAAACATCACTGTACCCAAAAAGCTTAACCTGTCATGGGATAGGACATATCAAGTTAACATCCTCCCTCACAAGCAGTCTCATCTTGCACGTGGAGAGGTAGACGAACATACAAGCATAGAAGTAACAAATAATTTGGGAAATGGGGCAGAGATGATTCAAACCCAGGACCTATTCGAACTGAAGCTCTGATAACAAATTAGACTACCATTACAGACCAAAAACTTAAGCTGATGGGAAATTTCTGTATGTGAAACCAACAAAATTTATCTTAACATTTTGCAGCTTCGTTTCACCTTGGATTTTTTCTTCAATACATATATAGAGTTGATTGCTTAGTAGTGAGATATTAACCTTTGTTCCACATGCGTGTCTTGAACTATTGTCGTTATTCAAGTGAGAATTTTCCATAAGTATGTGCCTGTCACATAGGTAACTGAGGAGTTCATATCAAACATCTGATTTTGAATTGAAGTCTACCCTTTTCTTGCAGGCAATATTATGTGCAGGTTTATATCCTAATGTTGCAGCCACAGAGAAAGGCATTGCTGAAGCAACTCTCAGTAACCTTAAACAATCTGCCGGTCTAGCAACCAAGGAACGGCCAATCTGGTTTGATGGAAGAAGAGAAGTTAGCATACACCCTTCTTCTATCAACAGTAATTTAAAAGAATTTCGGTACCCCTTCCTCATCTTCCTCGAAAAGGTTTGTGCACTATTATCTTTTGAATCTACTTTGTTTACATTTTCTCACAGTAATATGTTGATGGTGACTATAACAACAAAGGGAATAAACAAGTAATCAATACGGCATACCCTTGGCTCCCTAATAATTACATATTGCAGAAAGGAAAATAATAACCTTCGCAGCATGACCTTTCTAATCTCTCTATTAAGTATTGGAGAGAGAGAGAGACAGTTTGACGAAATTTTATACATAAATACATTACCTACAATAATTGTTCAGCATACTGATTCTTCGGACTTAAAGATGAGAGTTTAATATATCATTTCCACAGGTCGAAACCAACAAAGTGTTTCTCCGAGATACTACAGTCATTTCTCCCAACTCTATTTTGCTGTTTGGTGGTGCCATCAATATCCAGCATCAGGTATCTTCTTTTCTTTTTATTTTTTAATGTTCTCCCAGACATAAAATATGTGCATTTGAAAACCATGCATTTAAAGTATGTGAATCTGAAAATGTAAATGCTTCCAGCTTTTTTCAGTTGACAGGTAAGTGCTCCTTCTGACCTTGTCCAATAACATGATCTTGATGTCTGTTTTATACCTTTGTGTAATTGAACCAGAGGACAAACGACCAAGTGTTCCTTGGTCAAAGAAGTCCTGGATTCTATAATCTTATAAATACTTCTCTGAGAGAATTCTGGGCAATCACTCCCCTTATTTTATAACCAACCATAAAAAAAGAGCAAAAAATCAGAAAAGGAAGGGGAAGGAAACAAAGCAGTACAATTGGGCCTTTTCTACGGCTAACTAAGAATTTGTCATCTTGACATCTTTCTATCCGCTTGAGGTTTGTATGAGCTATGCCTGCTTCACCTAAGTGTTGTGAATAATTTTTGAATTAATGTATCCGGTTCTTGGACATGTCATTTCAGTTCGTGCTTGATGACTTTGATGAGTTTATGTGCTATTGTATTTATATTCCAATTCTTCCTCCCATTTCCATGGTTTGCAGAAGCAAAAATGGATTCAGTTATTTTATTATGTATTGATGTTTCATCTTTCAGACGGGACTTGTTATCGTTGATGGATGGTTAAAACTGACGGCGCCAGCACAAACCGCTGTTCTGTTCAAGGAACTCCGTTTAACTCTTCATTCCGTTCTGAAGGAATTGATAAGAAAGCCAGAGGTAATTTCAGGTTGCTTCTAAGTTGTAATTTACTTGTCAATTGCTATAAATGTTTCCTTAGCGTATTAATATCTAGTTGTGCCGTTACTTTTCACTTGCCTCTATCATTCTCAATGCATAAGGCATGAATTGTCTGTCGTGAGCTAGATTTCACTGTTCCATGCTAATCCGAAAACCCATTTCTCTAAACTCAATCCTCAGTATCAATTTAGTTTGGCTTATGCTATCATATAGTTATTTATTTAGAACCTTATAACGATTTGTTTTTGCATTTTCATGCCCTTTCTTTTCAGAATTCCACTGTTGCTCATAATGAGGTTTTAAGGTCGATTATCCATTTGTTGTTAGAAGAAGACAGGCCCCCACAATAGTATATTAGCATCAAAGGTATGTTTTAAGGTCGATTATCCATTTGTTGATTCGGACAGTTGCTCGATCACACTGGGACACATGCTTTTCTCTTCATGATTGCGGTTAACTCTTTTGTGATTTGCACAAGGAGCTTGCTGCTGACTGTTATCAAACTGACAAGTTAACCACATTTGGGAGGTTCATTCTGTATTAGAGCATACTTCCCAACCTATTCAGCAGGTATTCACTGCCTCTCTCGCTTTTATGCTGCGTCTGGTAAATATTCTGTATAACGATACCATTGCCACTCTGGTTAATTAAAGACAAAGCATTCGTTGATTTATGTTAAGGTTCGGGCTGAGTATCGTGCTCAAGAGTCACAAAGACGAGGAACGTCGCCATCAAATTTGGCAAATGATTAAGCATTGCTCTTCTTAGCAGAGGCGATTTGAATTTTGTTCCCCGTTCTCTATAACGTATTCAATGTGATGCTGTTGTGGCTGCAGTCGACAGACAATGCTGTATGTAGGATGACTTATGACTAATTACTGTTGAATTTAAGATAATTTGCTTCATAAACTTTTACCACTTCTTCCCCAAGATGCTTGTCCACTGTACTTTGTACACCGATTGCTTCCATAGTAGTTGTTTTCGGGTGCATGTAAATGTGGATTTTTGAACTTGGAGAGCAAGATGTTCGAAACCCGAAAGCGCAGTTGAAGCTGTGGAAATAGTAAACTGTGAAAAGGTCACGGAGCGGGTCTAATAGTTCTCTTAAAAAATATGTTGTAGTAACATCTATTAAACGTGAATACATATGTACTTGAGTATGTGCACTGGATATTAAAATTTTGGTAGACGTGCAACTTTATGAATTACTAAGATGCGTACGGAACACAAAAATATTTTTGAAAAATACGTAATTATGTGTATAATATACACGAATTTACAAACTACTTTCTCTCATTGACGAAAAAAAAATCTTAAACTTGAAGAGGAAACGGGGAAAACATGCCGCCCAAAGGGGAAGGGCAGGAAAAGGTACTGGGATGATAACCAACGAAGAAAAGAATGAGTCAATCAAATTAGTATAACACAGAACATTAATTTATACAATAATCAAATATTTCATGAACGAAGTGAAATCAGATGAAAAATATAAATCAAAGTTAATAAAATCTTATGCAAGTTGGGCTGTTGAGTTCATGGATCAGTTTTTCTTTTTGTATGCTTTTGTCTAGGGTACTGTACTAGTTTTAAGGGCTAAATTGGATGAATTTGGTGCTTTCCGTAAGAAAAACATATATGATACGTCTTCCTAAACTTAAAATTAATTATCAGAAGCGTTTTCAGTCATTTTAAACACACTTCTAAACGAAGCAATACACTTTTACAACATAATAATTATACACTTAAACATATCCACCCAAGAGCTAATGCCATTACAAATGATGAGACTAAATTTTTAAACCAAATGATGTAATTGTTGATATTGAATTTTTATTTTAGCGTTGATTAACGTGCTTATTTCATATCATTTGGTTTGCAATTTTGATCCCTCTAGCATTATGTTCATGACAAATAGACTCACTTACTTAGTTCATTACTGCAATCATCATGAATTTGACATACTAGTTTTCCAAATTTAATATTTACTTTGGTTAAAAGTTGCATTTTTTTTTCCAATGTAATGTGAACGACTGATATACAGAAGAAGACTCTCAGTCTCTTCCTGTTCATAAATCTAACTTCCACACCATCAATAAGATTCAAATCTGACATCTTCAGTTTTTATGTAACTACTTCATTTACCAACGTCATTTGTAATGTGTTATTCAGGTTAAAATAAAAAAATATAATTACCCAGTTGGTCACACCCTCGTATCAATCTCCCACATTCATTTAATACACTTCCGTGTTTCCTGTACGCTCTCTCTGTAGCAGGAGCAGCAAGCATGGTCATGGCGTCACTCTCTTACACGCGCCTCCTTTCTCTGCTCTCCCTCTTCATCCTCCTCTTCCTCTTCTCCCACCTTTCCTTCTCTCCCTCCTCCGTCCTCGCTGACTCCCAATTCGAAGGCTTCGACGACGCCGACGAAATCGACGATACCGACGACGACGACTCCTCACTCCCTCTCCCCACTCGCACCCGTCCTTCCCTCACCACCACCTCCCAACCCGACCCACCTCCCTCCACCGATCCCTCCCTACCCGACCCGGATCCCAACCCGATTCCCGATTCGGATTCTCTATCCACCGATCTTCCGAAGCCTTCCTCCACCAGCTTCGAGGATTGGGATGAAGATGAGTTCGAAGGCCTACCCGTCCAACCGCAGCAGAAACCGCCCCTCCACGACCCTGCAATTACTGAAAATGCCACTCCCTCCTCCGATTCCGATCCCAAACCCTCCGCCGACCCCAAGCCCCCCGCCGCGCCGAGATCCTTTGTTGTGGAGATCGCGTGCGGAGGGTTCCTGATCGTCTTCATCATCAACTACTTCACCGGGAAGCGGGTGAACGAGAACATTGCCCTGGCTTGGGCGGCGAAATTCGCCACCAAAGACTCGATTTTCGAGAAGAACTTCAGTATTTTGGGCGTCGGAGATGGCGGCCCCGGCGACGATTCGCCCTTGCTGTTGAAGGAAGGGCAGAACGTGTTCAAGTTTTACGCGAGTGGGCGGAGGTGCTGCCAGGGGCTTCTGGCGACGATGGAGCTCAAGAGCCGCCACGATTTGATCTCCTCGATTTTCAACTTGGTGGTTCCCAGTAGGGACGAGATCAATATTGAGGTTTATATGAACGATGAAGCGATGGACCACGTGGTTTTTGCCTTGGCGAGGAAGAAGTCGGCCAAGGCAATGCAGAAGGAGGTTAGGGACTTGCAGAAGTTTGCCGGGATTTTGTCTCCGCCTACTGGAAGAAAGTGGGTTTCTGAGGACCTGGCTGTTATTTCCGAATCGAAGGAAGTGGCTGGAGATTTGATCACTGAGGCTGTACTCGAACAGGTTGGTTCACTTTCATGATTGCATTTAAATGGTATTTGGTTTATGTGTTTACGTATTAGTTTCCACTTGAAATGCGTTTTCTTTCAGCCGTTCTGTAATTTTCGTGATCATATGCAATGTATTCGATTGTGTAATTTGTTTTTGAATGTAGTGGTAGAAAGGCTGTATATGCGCATATTCATCTCGAGAATAAGATTTTTTTTTTTTTCTGCAATGATAACACCAAATAAACTACAAAAGTCAAAAGTCAAAACAACTTATGCTTTTCATGACTGTTGTTTCTGAATTCCATGAGGATGGCCAAGCAGAGGTTCCAAGTCTCAATTTGTTAGGCGAAATGATTAGTAATTTAGTACACTTTTAATATGGAATTACATTACATTACCAATTTGGTATGCTTTTTTTGAACTGTCGGCTTTTGATCTTTTTTCTTCGTTTGTTTGGGCTTTATCTGTTTGACCACTACTGATTAAACCCTGTTTAAGACTCGCTATCCTGTTCATGCATATTTTTTTTAGCACAAAGGTGCTAGTACTAATTTTTTATATATGTGGCAATGAATAACTACTTCAGAAGATGTAGATGGTATTGTTTTATCTTTTATGGTTAAATAGCTTAATTGATGTTAATAAAGGTAGAATGTGTTTTGCCGGGTCGATTAAGGTGGTTGAAAACTTACGTATTGTGGATGAGAAATTTGTATTGCTTTCAATATAATGGGGCACAAACTGGGGTGCTTGTTTAAGTGTGACCGGATGGTTTTATAAGACCTCATTCTTCTCTTTAATCTAAAGGCAACGGGTGATATGCACTAGTATATGCGTTACAGCAATTCTGTACATTTCTTAATCACAGTATGCTCTGTTACTGTACCCAACTTTTATTTCTAATGTTGGGTACTTCCGTTGTGGGCGCCTTCATCTGTGAGAATGATAACTGGTGTTTTCTCTGTCGTAATAGACATGGCAAAGTCTCTCCCTTCAAATTTGTTCTAGTTAATAAAGGGTCTTGCATGTTTCTTTGGTCCTTCTGTTTATAAGTTATCTCTTCTGTACAAATTGACTTCCATTTCGGGCACCACATGATCGAATTGCATGGGATGTATAAAACTTTATGCAACCATACCGCAACATTCAACTTTATCGTGCTTCAGCCCTTTTACATTATTCCTCTTAGGTCCCATTCTGCATGAGTTATCCATACTGTTTCTTGATTCCGCTCAACTTTTTATTATTTGTTTATGCTTGGTTCCTCGTATTAATGGATCTAGCATATGCAGGTTTTAGGTGAAAAGGCTTTTCAGAAATTTGGAAAGGGTTTCATCTACATGCATTTTTCAGATCAGCATCCAGGCGCGCAAAAGAAGATGCTGTTGTTCAAGTTTGCCCTACCGGATGCTGGTAACATGGCTGATATGACTCGTCTGGTGGCCTTGGTACCATATTATATTGATTTGATTGGGCGCTACAAGCTAAGCAGTCAGGTAGGTCAGCTTCCAGTTATACTGTGGAATCAAAAGCTTCTACAAAATTTCCATTTGGCGGTATTTTCTAATTCTGATTGTTGCAGGCTCGATCCAAAACTGAAGCTATCAGATCAAAGGCGGCTCAAGAGGCTTACAAAGAACTCCAAAATGCAAGGCAAGAAGCATTGCAAAGAAAGAAGGCGGAGAGGAGAAAGATGATGGAGGAGGCCGAGGCTAAGCTCAGTGCTGAGAGTATTCGCAAGAAAGAAGCAAAGGAGCGTGCTCGTCAGATGAAGAAGGCAATGCCGAAGATAAAAATGAACCGTGGTAGCTGATGCTTGAATTCACATGTCATTTGTTTCCTCTTCGTCTCCATTTTAGCATACGCATGGATGGTATTTTAGTTGAGTCATGCCGGCCATAAATTTTGGTTCCGCGCCCTTGCAGGCTGCAGCCTTGTACTGTAATTGCCTGAATTTGTTCGACTCTTAACGTTACAAACATGAGTAGGTTCTGAATGTACCAAAATTCAATGCTGCCGAAACCCCCAGCATTTCTTTGTTGACATTTTCCACTGCCACCTGGGATTTTGTTATTTTCGTCGGAATTTGGATTTTTTTAGGTTAAAATGTTCATATAATTAAATTATTGAGCCTAAACCACCTTTTCGACATTTTAGCATTTGGCACAATAGTAATAAGTGGAACTCCGATTGTAGCTTGAGCTTGTTGTCTGGGGGAAAATATAGTTTCTGTAGCAGAAGGGATTGCTTCAAGGGATGCACTTTGAATGGCAAAGGAAAGAGGTTTTAAGATGTGTGTGGAGGGCGACTCAAAGCTCGATGCGGTCAAATTTTCTTGTACCATTCCGTGGTAATTTAGAAATATTATTGAAGAATACAGTGTGCTCGTCGTTTTAAGTGGCATACGCTTATTTTTGGAGGGGTGCGCCTTTGTGGGTGCCCCTATTTTCTTCTCAAAAAAAAAAATTATCAAGTGATTGGCCTCTTCTTTCGACTCTATTTTTTGATCACATGTTTACAGAGAAGTAAATTTCTTGGCGGATGCTATTACTACTACATGATTTCATTTTAATGGGTTTTCATGTTTGGGATAGGTCGTTGCCTTCTGCGGCAAATAAGACGTATTTCTTTGGTTGCATTGAAACTGAATATGATTGTGGTCGCTCTATTTAATAATTTCCCATTTCCATATAAAAAAAAAAAATTTGAAGCCACTAACCCAAAATCATACCAAACAAGCAGTAGAGAGACAATCCATCGTAAAATTTGCTCCACGAAAGACATGCACAAAAACAATAACCAACGGGTTTTGAAATAAATTTTGGAACTTTTCTAGTTCAGTTATATCAAATGTTTTAATTTTTTTAAACATTCTTAAATTAATTTTGGCACGTATAATTATGGAATATGCTATCTACACACTCATTTTTACTTCTCCCGCATCCTTTGTTACTTTAATTTTTCTTTAATTCATTCGATCCGATGTTCGAAAATTAAAAAGATTTATGAAAAGTAAAAGGAGTGTGATATCACACCCCATAATTACACGTATAGTCACGGATCTTGTTTGTATTTTAATTCAGGTGGTCACTGAAAAAAAGTAAAAAAACCAGAACAAAATCACATCACCAGAAAACTCCGTCACTGCAACACTGAAAACCGAACAAAAACAAACGGTGGACGGCAATGAGGACTCAGCATCGAAGCCGAACAAGTCAGAGAGTCCCCCGCAGCTCAAGAAATCACGAACCGTCATCACCACCACCGCATCCGACGACGCGGAGCCCACTACTTCAAGTCCTAGCCATATTATATCGTATAAATATTCTCACGTCCGGCCACTATCATTTTCAACTTTGCAACTCTAAATCACATGAAGTTTTTATCTGTCATATGGAAAGCTGAGCTCATAAGGACAGAAATATTCCTCAATCTATCTCCCTCCGCTCCTCACCACGTCCGATTTCAAGAACACACTGATCTTGGACAAATCTCCACGTTTGCACTTAACGTCTAAGCTGTCGAGACTGTAGTGGTAACCGTAGTATCAGAGTTTATATCATTGCTTATTTTTGTATAAGCTCATCTTCTGCACTAAATGACCAGAGCTTTGTATTATTTTGTGCCTGAACAGGGAAATGAGACGTGCATTAAACCAGCAGAGCTGTATTTATATGACCAGGAAGAACTGTCCTTTTACGATATTGTGCTCAGGGGTCGTCAAAGGCAGGAAATCGTGATTGGATATCGCCTTGTAAACACAGAGCGAGCCATGATTAATCCATCACCGAAGTTGGAGGTAAGGAAATGGTCCCATGATGATGTTTTCGTGGTTATCTCCATAAGTGAATGAAACCTCGTATTACCAGTGTGATAAAATTGTCTCCGCTCCCAACCCTACTAATTTAACCTGTTCATGGCATTAGCGACTGTCTACTATACTCTATACTTGAAGAGTTCCGTCATAGTTTTTACCGAGGCACCAAGGCCCTCGGATCAAGTGATCCCCTTTGAAATTTCATTCAACAGTCAAAAAATTAGCTTTTGAGGGATCAAAACAAGTAAGCCGTTGGATGAGATTTCAAAGGCCTATATTACTGATCCGGTGACCTTGGTGGAAGAGAACCGGAGATGATCTCTTTCCATTGATGACATCCCTTTCCGCCTGAAAATTATCGGTATATAGCGAAGATTGATGCTTGTACCCAGACGAATGATGGGATGTAACTTAACTCGCACTTAGTTGAGCCAATGATGGGATTAGAAGCGGCATTTATGTTGTACCGTTCGAAAGAAGCCTTTTTTTTTTTTTTTTGGTTAAGAAATTGTTAGATTTTTGTTGTAGTGAACAAAATGTAGTATGAAAAGCTGATTTTACTCCTTATTTTGTAAATTCAATAGGTTTGCTTTTGAAATGGGATTTCGATTAATTATGATTTTTTGTTAATTTTGGTCTCACAAACATGAATTAATGCCTAAAATAAGATGAGATTGGACGGAGAATGATATTTAATTCACATTTTTGTTGATAAAAACTAAATAATATGCAGTATGTAGAAAGAGAAAAATAATTTTCCGCACATACTTATTTATTCAATTCTAAAATAAAAAATAAATGGGCATGCCGAGAGAAAACAAGACGTGTATAAAACACTTCTCAAGTGTTTTCATATGGAACCGGATCCCTTCTGGATCCAAAGAAACTAAGTCTTGGCATCAAATGATCCAGGCCATTAAAATTTGATCTAACGACAACAAACAGAAGATCCTTTAAAAGTTATAATAATTGTAGCCGTTTGATCAAATTTCAACGGCCCGAATCATTTAATCCTTGAGCTCAATTCCTTTGAATCCGGAGGAGATCCGGTTTCTTTTCATACTTTTCAAAAAATGTAACGAGTAACCGAATTTGATCCAAAAATAAACAAATAGATTTGAGTAATTAGTGTTACTTGAATAGCATAAGATTAAGAGTGATAAATAATCATCCAACAGCCTCTTAATTAAATTACAAAAGACAAATCACTGAAAAATATAAACCAAAACTACTGTAACCCAGATTTGAAGCTTATCCTACGAGCCAACACAGTTCTCTTCCAAAATTTAATGAAAGTTTTAACGAAAAGCTTGCAGTACTGTTCATTTTAACGAAAAATCATATTTTTACATTAAAAAGTCAAATCTGATACTATTCACTTTACCTTTTATTTTGTTCTTATAGTTAAAACTCAAAGTTTTAAAGTTTTTTTCATTAGTTTTCCAAAATTTAATCTACCCTTCTAGTCCACGGATGAAAAATGTCGGCGGCCGTCGGCGGCTAGATTAATATCCTCACAGCAGACTTGATGGCGAGCAGCTCTTCTTCCCCGACTTTTTTCCACACCCCGCCTATCATGAGATGTCCGTCGACATCTTCCCAGGATGAAACATCCTCACCTTCCGACGCAGAACCATCCACTGCCGCCCTCATCTTCTTAACACATGGGTTATCTAGGAGCTGCATATCGGAACTAGGTCTCTTGACACTGCATTGGTTCAACTCCCACTTCTCTTTTCTTCCTAGTAACTCAGGAACCTTTTCCGGGACATTAACGTCCAGAACAGGAAGGCGGCCAGAAGACCCCACAGCTCGAGGCAACATTCCAATTGGACACGGGTTCCATGATTTTGCCAGAACCCATCTGTCAGTGTCTCCGACATCAGCATCGATCCTCTTCGCTACTTTGCTCTTCACTATGCGACGTTTAATCAGCTCTAGCTTCTCTGCTGCTTGACTTATAGATTCTTCTTGCTTCTTAAATTGATTATTTGAATTTATATGAACAGTATCTTCTTCAGTACCATCTGAATTTGATGAAACAAACGAAGAGAGCTTGTGCAGTTTTCCCACTAGGCAGCTGTCCCCAGCCAGCTGTGCAAGATGGGCGGCAGAATCCGTGAGCTTTTTATTAGCAGAAGCTGATACAATAAGACATTTACGTAGGAGTTCCATCAGAATTGCTTTTGAGATAGTTTTTTCTGCTGAAGAAACTTTGATTTCGGCTGCAGAGTCCATTTCATGGCGAGGCTTTAATCCTTCAAAATTTTGAACGAGCCACGCAAACAGAGAAGAAAGGTGTTCAACTTGGAGTACCTCAGCCCTGCGGCCTGATGATGTGGAAATCCCTCCTAGACAAATTCATAAACGCAGCAACCAAGATAAGAACGCCTGGATAATTTAAATTTTGAGCAAATACAAATCACACGCTCAATTTTGGTGAGTAAATTTAGCTGTCGCAAATGACATTGAATTCACGCTATGAACTGAGAATATCAAATACATAATCGAACAGATTCAAAAGCAGGTGTCTGAACTTGCACTGTGAATTTAGGCTAGGAAATCAAATGCACATCATGCACCTAAAAAGGCATCTGGCTTTAGCTGATTATATGCAGCTACCATTAACATGCTTTCAAGAAAGCAGCTTAAACTCTTAACTGATTGAGGATTCGATGGGAGGGCTCCTCTCCTTAAGCTGTTGTGCTGTATTTTATGCTAAAAAGGACACCTTACACAGACATTTCTAATACTCAATGTTGATTACTCATCTAACCTAATTCAGCAGCTTATGCTTTAGTGCTTCTGAAAACCAGATGCTTTTCCGACCTAAAGGAGGTACGTTGCTGTTTAGCTGTCACCAAATGTAATATAGAAATGAAATATGCAACTTTATCAGGGGAAGCCAGAGGAAATATATCTCAGCATGCAAATTCAAAAACACTCTATACTCGAGAAATTACTGTTCTGATGTGACCGTTATTGCAGGCTTGATCACTTACCCATCTCCAGCATAAAAAAGCAACTCATTAACCATGTATATATAATTAAAATCTACACACAATCTCGGCATATGTTCTACCAGTCTATATCTGAATAAGGAACAAATTATACAAAGAATAAAAAAATTAGGTCGCATGATTACCCGTCTCATATATCACTGTTTCCCGAGTCTCAATCATATCAAGAACTGCATTCAGAAGAGCCAGAAGCAACTCTGGTTCCTTGTTTGAAAATTTTGTTATCACAAGCTTCCACTCATTCAACGAAATAAGTAGTCTTGGGCCACTTTGGATGTTTACTGGAAGCTCCGAGGAGTCTGAGGAATTTATAGCCTCCAACAAGAACTCCAACAGTACAGAAACAACTTCTGAGGAGAAGGAAGAATACAGCCCAATAAGACTTTTCAATATCCTTTTACGGTCTTTTTTTAAACCTGGAAATGAAGTACCTCAATTAATAACGATACTTAAAAAACATCCATGTTTTAAAATACATCTTGTTCTTGAATCACGGACATCCGATCAGAATTATGATGGCTGTGTGCACAATACAAGAGTAAGTCAGGTGTAGCATTGCATCAAATAAAACGTTCTAATCACCTAATACATTTTCTAAACATTCTAATCAACAATAGTAATATTTTCTTTGGTCAATACAACAATAGCAATTAGGCATACAAGTATAAAAAGAGAAATATGCAGGTGTAGCATTATATCAAATAAAACGAATTAAATCAAACCCAAAACATGACATACACATGGACTACATGGACATGTCTCAGTAGAGAGTATACGTCGTACACATGATACACGTCGATAATGACTTCTTTACAACAGCTTAGCTATGTAAATTCCATTTCCTTGGAACACAACATGACAATCAACGGTTTTCTAAGCCTCCCTTGTGATTGCGAGATTGCTTGCTGATTGAAATACATACCATGATAATCCATTCCCATTCCATCATAAAGAATATTCCCCAAAACTGGCAAAAAAAAAAAAAAAAAAATTCTGGACAAGCATTTCAACATTAGAGAAAATTACGGATTCCTAATTTTACGGACATTTTAAAATTCTATCAGAAAATAACTCCAAACTTATTGTCTAAGATTACTCCTTTACAAAGAATGGGTGAAGACTGAAAAGAAAGTCCTAACCATATAAACAAGAAACATCCCCAGGAGATGAAAACATCACAATCCCTACAAAATGTAGCTGCAAATAACATGAAAAGATATACACGGTGCACCACATATTCTCTCTATGCAAAAGCATCAGAAAATATTGTATCCTATATATATATCAGAGATTTAGGCAGTATAATCAATATAACTTGAATAAATGAAAATTTCATACCGCGCTTTTTCTTGACATTTGAAGAATGGGATTGAGGAGTCGTCTTAACTCTTAAGGAGAAGGCCAATTCATGCAATTTAGACCTTATTTCAATTCTGATATTATCAGTTTCATTACCATGAAATGGAATTTCCTTCTTCTGAGGCTCCCAGTAATAACACTTCAACCAATCAAGGGCCTAAAAACACCAACCAGGGATAATGTTTAACTACTCAAATTTAAAGCAAGTCATCCTCTTCCAAACAACTCGTATACAATCATTGAAGTATTCCAGTAGGAAAAAAAGGGTAAAAAAGGAACAAATTGTCATGAATTAAAATGAACTTGTAACAGAGCCATAAAGGGTTATGATAACTGTTGAGGGCCCTTTTTATCCTCAAACATTACTTAATAATATCTGGTGATATTCATGAAGTCAAAACTATTAAGAGACTAGCTGTAAAGGGTTTGTTTTCAGAAACAAGTTTAATCTTCCCTATTCACTTTTTCTCTTTTTGGGTCACTTAATCTTCCCTATTCAAGATCTGAAAGTTCTAGCCCACGAAAGTGATAGCTAGAAACATATTGAGATAACAATATCATTTTGTTACAATTGAAATGCAGAATATGATGTCTTCCAGCCAAAATAGGCTGGAATAACGCCAAGTGTGGGAAACCTGAAATAAGAATCTGCTCTCATCAGAAAACGTGTCACCTATGTTTATATGGAAAAACAAAACCGGTTTGCACAACTTAATAGAATTCAGACATATTATCAAATAAAACCACCATTCTGTGCAGCACCCACAAGTAGTTTAATCAAATATCAAATGATGCCTAACTCGGATTCTATTATAATTATTCATCATCAAATAGACTAGATTTCTCAAACATAAAATCCAAAAGTTGATTAAGCATTTGAAGAATTTGAAGGTGGGAAGTTTTTGATATACCAAACATGATATGTACCTTAACTGAAGCAGTACGAACAACGTCAAGTGCAGGAAGTTCACGGTGAGATCCCTCTAAAAAATTAAAGCAATAGCAAAGTGAAAAATAAAAATACAGCTCAACGCACATAATCATAAGTGTTCAAAAAATTATTTAAAATACCCAAAGCCCTGTGCGCAAAGTAGGCATAAGTCGAATGGACATGGTTGGTTATCTAACAGAAAAGCCTAAAGGCTTAACCAACAAACAAAAGATTACAAGATAAAAGTTGGAGCTGCTCACCATGACGAACATCAATCAGTGTACGTGGAATGCCAATTGCATCAGCAGCCACAGCAATTGACACCTCTGTTTTTTTCCGTGTCTTCTCAACCACACCATTCACAAGCCTTCAGAAACAAGCCAACTAGTGTGAAGGTGATTATTTATGTGACATCACATGAGACAATGACAAACAGAAAAAGGAGGCAAAATAAATATGAGCTTAAACATTAATCCCCTATGAATTGAATCCAGAATTTCTCTGTTCTATGTCTACTACGAAAACCTCAAAAATTACCTTGATATGTTACTAATATCAGTTATGTGATGGGACAGCTTAAAAAAATTATGCATGCTATACTTACAAGAACCCATTGCACAAGATATCTTAAATTGAAGATAATGAGCAGTGAATGCATGTATCAAGAAAAATTCCCAACAAAAAATTCGGATGCTTAAAGATTCTTCCAAATGACCCTTACTAAGAACATATACATCTACTATGCATCCATAATCTCAAGCTGGAGCTCTTTGAGAGAACCATATAGTCAAAAGTTTTCTTCTATACAGTTCCAGGTATAGCTGAAACTGGAATGTAGCTGGGATAAGTCAAAGACCATGCAATAATTTGTAGAAACATGAAAAAAGATCCAACACTTGATGCAACTAGCTATTTAACATGCTTGCTGCCCATATATGAGTCAAAGTAGTCTATCTCTCCGTCAAACCCACTACAAACTACCTCCCAAAGAGAGCGAGCGAGAGAGAGAATGTGTGTGTGTGTGTGTGTGTGTGTGTGTGTGTTTTGATTCAGGACTATAGTTTTGATTCAGCATTATAGTTTATCAAGGACAATGTTTCTACTAATTATTGCACTGTGCTTATTATGATAGTATTACTAAGAATATGCATCCATACATCACAAAATGATAAGGAGTAAAGAAAAGAATGGAGAGATTTAATTGCACAAAATTGAAGGAACCTCACCTCATGATTGCCATACAATATAACATGGCCAGCATTTCCTCTGAAAGTGAAGCATCAAGTGATTGATCTGTTCTGGAATTATCTAAAGCATCATTTGACAGGTCCTTTCTATTGTTCAAAAACACATACACAAAGTTGTTGGCAAAGTAGGACAAATACTTTATCTTTTAAAGAAATTCAAAACAATATATGAGATATATTATAAATATATACAAACATAACCACAAAGCAAAAAGCATTGGCATAAAATATTCCCTCCCCCACCCCCACCGGGTAAAAACAGATATAAGTTGATCCAAACAGGTGCATAGGAGTTGGAGTAAAAGCTACCTAAAGTGAGGATCTTTTCGTTGAATTTCAATAATTGATGCTGTAACTTCAATCGTAATAGGAAGACAGCCTCTGCTTCTCCATGTTGATATCTGTAAACAACAATTAAAACATAAAAAGAATTTATGGCATTGCCAGAAACCTCACAAAAAAATTCAATTTAAAGGAAAAAACTCTTTAAAAAGTAATTGTGTCAATTAATTTTCAAAATTATAGCAATGGATACACAAGCTTCAAACAAGCAATATCCACGTCAAAATTCCTAACATAACCTTTTCTTGTTTTCCACGGTAAGCAAAATGAAAACATGAAGTTGGGTTTCTCTTACTCTTCTCAAAGCGGAAGCCACAAAATCAGGTGAATTAGAGAAAAGAGATTTTTCGACAAAGAGCCACTCGTCCCAACTCAACCAAGGCACCAATTTGTAGCTGTAAGGTGATGATGATGACGACTTTGATATACCCAACTCCTCATTATCTCTTGATTCTTCCGTGTACCCCAAAAGTTCTTCCATTACAACTCTTCCACTCGCTTTACCTCTACACAACTAATAACAAAAAAACAAGTACAGATGAGAGAATAGCATTACGAAATTTTATACAAAATAGAAAATAAACTTTTCCAAATTAAAGCTCGAGAGGTAGCCAGAATTCTCAGCTCTGATGCACAATACTTAACATTCTATAATCCTATTTAAAGCACACATCATCATAAATTCACCATAACTGAACACATTAACATGATTGTCTAATTCTTTTGGTTTTATATGCACTAATTAAAACTACTGTGCTACTGTAGCTCTGGATCAATCCAAAAGCCCTAATGCTTGAATAAAACTGACAAGCTACCCTAAAAGAAAAAGACAGCTTTATGTCGTTCAGTTACCTTGTTCTATCAAAACTCATGCACCATCTAGCTTCAATATCAACCCAACGTAAAATCAACAACACACCAAAACCATCTCAAGTTTCACGTGTGATTGATTATAAAATAATAGCAGACCATATAAACAAAAGAAGGGGATGGTAAAAATAAAGATGACAATGAACACCAAGAGTATGGCTCCTAAACTGTCAAGTCACAATAATGTGCGGACCCAACCTAGATGATAACATGATAGAATGCACAAAATGAATACATTAAAAAGCTTGCTCGAAACAGCACCTGTACCAATTCTATCCACAAAATAAAAGCTTTCCTAATAAGAATTGAATCAAATCGTTTCCTTCTCCATCATGTTAGCTATTCAAAAACTTCAAGTCTAGAAACCCATTATCATTTATAAAACTGTTACATGAATTTGAGGTTTCATTCTCAAAAGGCAACACAATAGGAAAATCACATAATGAACATCAAACATCTAACATCTAACTTCTAATACTCTTACCAGTACCCAAAGAAGATATGAAAGGAGGTATCTGAAATATTATTTGCACAATAAAATCCAAGCCTTAGCAAGTTAGCATACAAAAGGGCAATCTTTCCAAGATAATTTAACACAACTCATTTGTTCAAATACAACTCAAATTTATCAAGGTAATGAAGCATTTAAACAAATCATCTCAAGAAGCAGAAAACACTAAGTAACACACTCACCAGATAACAACTAAAATCCAATTAGGCAGAGACTTAACTCCAACTAGGATGAAATTTAAAACCCTCAACGAAAAAATGTGACAACACCACAGGAAAAGAATGCAATTTGTATTCAGGAGAAAAAGAAAATAATTTAACTTGATGCAATACCATTGTTATTTATAAATTACACTGCCACTATATTTTTTGCCGAAGATACTAAGTTTCCTGTATGTCTCCAAAATAACAGCTGTCCTTTCAACAACCCACTTCCTATCACTAAAGGTAAAACCAGCTTCACCCGCATCGGATCCTGGGCAGCAATTATGCCTTCCGTAGCAACAATATGGTATATCATCCAATAGATTAACTCATCTTCTCAATCAAAATACACATCATGCCACCAAAGCATTATACGTATCACATCAATCTCTATATGACCTCCCGAAAATTTCCATTTCATCATTGCAGCATTATTAGAATCATCAAATGCAGCATCTCAAGAGCAATTATCATTGATCTCCTCTCCCAGTTCTTCCATACCACAATTATCAGCGGACAGAAATCAGTCTTCTACCACCAGGGGTCAAAACAAGATTCGAATTATGCCTTCTTGGTATCTTATTCATGAGATGAATGTACCGATACCGAATACCCATTAATGGGTGCTTCTCAATCAAGAAGTTCTTCCTATATGCCTCCCTTAGTACCACAGTCTGTGTCCTAATTTTATTTGAAACATAAAAGATTCCTGGGTGATGCCCCACAGCCTTTTTCAACCTAGACCTTTCGAACCCCAAATACTCTCCCAAAACATACAAATTTTCCCTCTCGGTCTTCTTGGAAACCATAAGCCAAAGAACCTCATGAAGCACTGCCACCGTCCACTTCTCCGCCTGATCGCTATTTGCTGAAAGATGGGCTGCATTTTCGTATGGTGAAATATATGGCAATCTCTGCCATTCCTCAACCCAATCTTTCACCCTCTTATCCAAATCAAACCCTTTTGGAAAATTCATTGGAAATGCAATGTGCTTTGACATCTTCTCACTCAGGTCAACCATTATCGCCCTTTTCTCCAATTGAGAGAAAGCAAGCTCCTTTCTCCAACAAACAAGCCCCAACGCAAGCTCTAGTTTCCCAGTTATTGCATCCTCAACCTCACAAACCTGAAAATAATCTGGGAAATCAGCAAAAAGGGTACCCACAATATCATGAGGTAGACCCAGATCCCATTTCAATCTGTTAATCAGGTGCATGGGCAACTTGGTCCCTCCGGTGAGCATCAAAACCTTAGAAAGTCGTTCAATGGCATTGTATTTGTTAGGCATGAAGGTATGAATGGCTGACTCTTCTTTGTGGAGAGAGAGGATTTGTGGGGTGAGCTTGACATGGGGAGGGAGGCCAGGGGAGGGCTGGAATATGGAGAAGAAGGAAGGATATTTATGGAAAAATTTGGAGGATGTGGTGGGGAGATCAAGGTGGGGTTTGAGCAAAGAGGCTGCAGAGAGAGGGAGGGACTGGGAAGGATTGGAGAGGATTTGGTTCTTCAAAGAAATGGATTGTTTAAGGTCTTTCTCTCGTTCAACTACGTAGTCCAAGTATGGATCTCGGACCCATTTTACCTTGGCGTTCACAAAGGTCCTGATGGCGTTGAACCGATGGGGGAGTTTCCTAATCAGAGACATAGTCATGACTCAGATGATCAAACCTATCATCAGAGTCCATATCAGAAACAATTCATCTAGCAATAGAAACTCACAGAAAAATAAGAAAATCCACCAACCAGACACTAACATAGGATTAAAATTGTAATCTAAATCATCCATATTACTAGGAAGAGAATCCTAAGAGTTAAACTGTGTACTTCTAGCTACAAGGTGGTGGCACAAAAATAACTACAAACATGAAATACATACTGATGTCTTAGAGATACTTGTATCTTCATATTCTCAATTCCCTTGAAAACAAACCAAAATATTGAGAACTAGCCAATCCTCATTGTCTAATTTCTAGACTAAACCAATGTAAAGAACTTCAACCTTCATGTGGAAGGCATTTATTCAAACTAGAAGGCAAACCCTAAGTCATAACAACGAAAGTAAAGCAAACCCGGAAAACAAAATAAGAGAAGACAAATTCAACATCTAAACCTATTAATCTATTATAAATCGACTAACGAATAATTGTCAACCAAATGCACGTCAAATTAAAAACGTAAGAAATATAGATAGCATTCTTAGTCCTCCAACTCCATCCCCACCATGAGTATGTTATCATTAAGGTTATGCTATGAAAGCTTGTACAACTTCAGTTCACCCACTACAAACCCATTTCAAAATTCACACCAAGTGCAAAAAGAATCACTCCTATCAAATCCAAGCACCATTTTTTTCTCCAAGATTCAATTTCATATTTTTTTTTGTCTGCAAAAACTGCAGAAACTCTCCGAAAAAACAATTTTAATCTTACTTCTTAGCAATCAAGACAAAAGAAATATGCCAAATTTAACACTCAAATTGAAAGAGCAAAGTATGAGCTTGTTCAGTATGAAATAAAGGGCAGACCAGAACAAGCAACGCAAAAATCTGTTTTAACAACTCCACGTTTCCAAACTCACCAGCCAACTCAGCCGCGAGAAACCGAGATATAACACTGTGACCGTCTGAGCCGGCGGCGGGAAGGAAACGGCTTTCACTCAATAGAGACGGGCGGGCTTAGTGAGTGGACACGGAGCGATGATGGTGTCGGCGAAGATTTGCTCGGGGTTTTAGGGACTACACTCACTGGGCCTTTTTCTTTGGACAATACTTAGGTACTGAACAGTCAGTATCACAATTTTACTGACCACCTACATGGCCCAATAGTATTCTAACATCTGTCATACAACCCAGCAACCAAACACCCAGATTCATTCACGCCTCCATCGCTCTGACCTTCCGACTGCCCTTTTCCACTGTCAACCCATCTCTCACGGATCCAGAGCAGCCCAATTTCTCACCGGCGACCCCCCTCCAATCCCTCTCATCTCCGGTGATCCCACTCCTAATCGTTCTCTTCTCCAGTAACTCACCCCGAATCCCTCTCTTATACTGCGAATTGGGTGCATGTACGCGAGGAAGATAACAAATTAGGTGCACATATGCTAGTATCCATTATCTATGATTTCTTTTCGAGATATTTCAGACTATCATCAACTTATTTTGTGGTGAGAAGTGGGGGATTGGGGTGGGGTCACCGGAGAAGTAAAGGATAAGGGTGGGTCGCCGGAGAAGTGATGGAATAGAGACGGATTCTGCACATAGGCAAGGACAGGAAGACGATTGTTTGGTTATGGAGATAGCAAGTGACAGGTGTACTAATATCATTGGACCACATAAAGAGGTGAGTAAATTGGGTACTCACTAGGGGGTACCCAAGTGTTGTCCTTTTTCTTTGGGCCGAAGTTGCCACACGCCCATTTCAGACATTTTGGGCTAAATACTAACATTTCAGTCGTCAATGCTCTTACAGGGCCGACTTATGGCCCGTTTGATACTTTCGTTTATTTTGGTTTTTTTTTTTTTTTTCAGAACAAATAATATTATCGACATTAAGAAAGATAGGTGTGGGTTTAGCCTCATAATGGGCTAGTAATATTGTGGTTCAAATTCATTTTTAATGAGAATCAAATCTAAGACATCTCACTTATAAGTAAAGAGAAATATCATTATACCATAGTACTAAGTGGTTTGTTTTTTTTAACTAACGTTATTATTTACACTAAAAGGGGGGGAGTGGGCAAAGCCTTACAATGGGTTAGCCATAATAATATGGTTTGGAATCGCCTTTGAGCCAGACTCAAACCTAAGACCTCTCATTTACAAGTGAAGAAGAATATCACTAGACTGTAGTACTAAATAGCTTCGTTTATTTTAGTTTAGTTTGTAATTTTTGGTTGGAAATAAGGAATAATTACAAAGAAGAAATTACATATGTGGTACTAGGGGTCTTGGATAGGAATTTCCAATTCTGATCACTTTGAATCGAAAAGTTATAAAATATTCCATCTGATTCAAATATAAAACCAAAATTCCAAAAAGAATTGAATAGGAATTGGAATGTATTTGAATATTTTGAATCTGATCCGAAATATTCTGAAACTTCCCCAACTTTATTACATTTCATACACTTAATTATGTACTTACTGATTTATCACCCCCTTAGTATAATATATGGTTTTTTTTTTTTTTTAGTATAATGTATTATTGTATCACTTTTGGTGGGGAGGCTGGTCCTCGTTTTTAGATTTAGGGTTTTTTACTTAGGCATTGTTATGGCCTTACTTTTGGGGTTTTTTTTTCTTACTTTACCTTTTTAATGGGATGCACTTTTACTTCAAAGTTGTGGATTGTCTTTGGACTTGCCTCACTTTGTATTAGTGTGTATTTTTAATGAAATTAGTATGCTCACACAAAAAGTGTGTGAACATTTTTTTATTTTATTTTGAATACATCGATATTTTTACACTAAGGAGATGGAGAGTTCGGCTAAGCCACACAATGGGCAACCTAATTTGGTATTGAATTCATCATCCACGAGATTCGAACCTAAAATCTCTCACTTTCAATTGAAAGAGAAATACCACCAAACCGTAGTACTGAGTGACTTATTTTTGTTTTTAAAATGGAAAGAGGTTTTTGTTTTATTTTTAATTTTTCAATATTAGAGATATGTTAAAATCACATGTGAGTGAGTCTTAAGAGAAAACAGTGAAATTTGGTTTATGTGAAATTACATTATGTCCATGTTTATTATTTATATTCAGTTTTGATTATAGGGTTAAAATGGTAATTTTATGGAAGTTTGGTTGACAATCAGGGTTCTATTAATATGTAGTTAGTTGTTGGACCACAAAAAATTTGTCTTCTTTGTTGCAAACTTGCCTAGTCATAGACAGGTCTCAATTATTTGCAACATTAAGGCTAGTCCGATCAATTCGTTTGAACTAATTGTGCTTGTATACTGTATGTTGGGCTGAGTTAGCATGTATACTTATTTCATTTAATTGAGAAAATACATATAATTTTAATATTTAATTGACTGTCAATAAAAAATGGTTCATAAGTTCCTTAATAATTAAGTAAAATGACAACGGATTTTCAAACATCAAAATGTCCAAATTTAAAAAGCAAATTTCAATGTCAATAAATGATTGGGTAAATTACATAAAATTGCCTCAATTATTGGGTCAGTCACAATTTCATACCCCGTATTTAAAAAATTTCAATGTCATACCTCATTTTACGAATTTGTTACAATTTCATACCTTCCATCAGTTGTCTGTCAATTCCTCTGTTAAATGCTGACATGACTTGAGACGAGACCCACTTTCTATTAAAAGATTAATTAAATATTAAAAAACAAAAACAACAAACCACACCCAGATCCCCTTCCCCCCCCAGCCCCGAAACTCCCCATCCCCTTCCCATCTTCCCCATGGACCCATGTCCTCTCCCCCCCCCCCCCCCCCAACTTAAAAAAAAAAAAAAACCCTTCCTTCCAAACCCAAAACCCCACCCCCACCTCCCTCATAACCCCCCTTACCCCTCTTCTCCCTCTCGAGCCTCCCAACCACCTCCATCTCCTCCACTCTCTTTACCTCCCCTCAAAAAATAAAAATAAAATAATCAGAAACAAATCTGAACCCAGATTGTCCAGATCATCGCACCCCACCCACGATCTCGGTGACGAGCATGACGTCGCTGCTGCTACTAACGGTGATTGTTGGGGGGGGGGGGGGGTTGGGATTGTCATTTGAGTGGGTGGCCGGGTTCGAAGAGTGGAGGAAAGGGAGTGGTTGGGAGGCTCGAGAGGGAGAAGAGGGGTGGGGGGGGGGGTTGCGGGGGAGGTGGAGGTGGGGTTCTGGGTTTGGAAGGAAGGTTTTTGGGGGCGGATTGGGATGGGGAGTTTTTGCGAGACCGGGGGGGGGGGGTGGGGGGAGGGGATCCGGGTGTGATTTTTTGGTTTTTATTTTTTAATTTTTTAATATTTAGTTAGTATTTAATTAATTTTTTAATAGAAAGTGGGTCCCGCCTCAAGCCACGTTAGCATTTAACAGAGGAATTGACAAATAACTAACGGAATGTATGAAATTGTAACAAATTCGTAGATGAGGTATGACATTGAAATTTTTTAAAGACGGGGTATGAAACTGTGACTGACCTAATAGTTAAGGTAATTTTATGTAATTTACCCTAAATGATTTATCCAAGTTTCCCTTGGATTAAAAATCAGAACCTACTAACATGAGATGCTACAACCAAGTAAATACAAATAAATTCACCAAAATAACTACAATAAATACATGTTTATTTGGGCAATAGAAACGAATGACATGCCTTGCAATGCCCGGCATGAGTTTCTTGTGCCTTGTCTTGGTCATAGAGATGTTTGTTTTTTCTTTTTAACTGTATGCTTAGCTTATGTATAATATCAATACCTGTAGTTGTCAACTCTAGCAGGTGTCATCGTTCTCATTGGTCCTTCTTTTTATGATTCATGAAAAGCACATGAGTATGCAACACAATACACGTGCATGTATTCATCTGAAGAAAATGTTTATATTTCTCTGTTGTTTTTCACTGATGGTGACAACTGACAAGGAATTCTAACCTCATTCGATTCCATTTAGCTAGCGTTTGTAGCTAAAAATGACAAGAAGATTGATGCAATCACCACCTAGTGCATGCAAATTTGAGTGTTTTGGAGTTTCGGCAAGGAACTATGCACATTGCTTGGATTCTTACATGTATGAAGTTATTTATCCTTTAACCATAGTGTTCATCATTTCACTGTACAAACGACTAGAAGATTTTTTATAGACTCTTTCAAAATCACCTCATGTTTTTTGCGCAATGTTTTGTAATGTTGGTATGATAATTAATGTTAAACTATGAGGTGACAGAGAGCCTATAGAGAATTCTAATTTTAAAAGAGTTCTCTTAGCATTTATCTTTCCGCACGTATTAATTATTAGTATCATTATATATTAGGAAAGCAAAACAAATTCTAGGATCAGTTGGAGATTAAGTTAAGTATGTAAGATCGAACAAATAAAAGACCTTACATGTATTAATAAAGAATTAGCTACTCCTTCTATATTGTCAGTTATTTTTAAGGTTAACGAAACTTCAATTTTCTTTAAGGACTTCGGTAAAAACCAATGAAAATATAATCATTTTGGTGTCGGTTGCAGCTGTCTGAGTAGCATGGAAAGGCTATGCACTTTTGGCAGCAACTCCAATTTGATTTCGTGTGCATCGAAAACCCTAACCTGCTTCATTTGTAAATTACCAACAATACTCCCCAGGCGTTACTCCCAATCAACCTCCCTCTCTCTCTCTCTCTCTCTCTCTCTCTACACACACACACACACACACACACACACACACACACACACCCACATATTCACAGCTCTCCACCATCGTCTGAGCTAGGTTATATATATGCACATTGAGAAACCAGCATAAACTTGCTCGATCAGGTATACACACTACCTCTTAATTTTCAACCTTTATACAAGTTAAAGTTTAATGCCATAGGTATTACAGTTCCACTGCATGCTGCCGCAGCACTCCAATGATAACAAGGGACTACTTCATGAAGGCAGAAAACAATGACTCATCAGATGTCCAAGAATTCTTCAAAGATCAGAAGAAGAAAAATCGTGCAATAATTTCCAATGCTGCCGGTTTTGATGGTGAAAAAGGTGCAAGTACCCCAAATGATGGCCAGCAAGAAAACAGCAGCTTCAAGTCATCGAATGATATGTCTTGGTTGTTCAGAAAATATCTTTTTACAAGAAGTCATAGTAATAGCACGGGTAAATCCAGCACGGAAGCTGAATCTGAATCAGAATTTGTCAAAAGGCATTCATCACCCCGCCTTTCAGTACCACCTATGCTTTTTGGTAGTAATGATTTTCGAGGAGACCGGCTGTCTTTGCTAGAGCGAAAGCTTCTTCCGGGGTTTCGGTATGTTCTCCTCTACATAATCACCGTTATCTACGTGTATTATCTTGGAGTTGCGATTTTGACACTCTCGGTTTAACTTTTGAAGCACTCGTGCATTTAATTTGTACTTAAATTACGTTATATTAAGTTTATATGAGTTCGTTTGAAAGTGCTTTTGAAATGAAAAGTATTTTTGCTAAAAATGTTTTTGGAAACAATTTTTAATAAAAATGTAAGTGAATTTTGGACAAGCACTTCAAGTGCTTCCTGGAATAAGCACATACATGAAACACTCCAAGTGCTTTTGGGATGTAAAAACTTTTTGTCTAAAAGCGTTTTTTTTAGTCATGTTAAAAGTGCTTCCTAACGAGCCATATAGCGAGTACCAAAATCTTCACTCTTTATTTTTTGTTGTCTACTAAATTATACAATTGAACGTTGATTGTAAATGTGAAATTAATCCTCGTACTTTTGTTCTGTATGTATATGTGTAAAGATGTGGTGATCTATCCAACAAGACTTCTACAACAGAACAACTTACAATATTTTACAATGGGATTGTCCATGTCTATGATAACATTCCTGCTGAGAAGGTGAGTATACAATTTCTGACTGCCATAACAACTTCGTGTCCTCAATTAATCTTTCTTTTTTTCCAAATTCTCAAATATTTGGTAGTAAGCATAGGCCTGCATATACGCATATGATGCATGTGATGAAAGTGAATGAGGAACATACTGGAGACGGAGAAAACGACAGATGTGGAAGAGGAACAATAAGAAATTGATTATTAAACTACCATCATTTCACACCTATACTCTTGCAACCACCGCCCCTGCCGGCTTAGCAACAACCACTATCACCAAGAGCCGCCCCACCCCAAAAAAAAAAAAAAAAAAACAAACAAACAAACATTGTTGCGTCATTCCACCGAGAATCTACCGCCATTGCCAGTTTGCCACTACCACCACTCCTCCCTACCATCATCGCCGCCTCTCCAGCCCCACCACCATAAATGCAAGTGAATTTTAGTACATAAATCTTTAAACATGATGTCCATTTGATACATTTTACGCATATCAAATTTACTAAAAGCATGATAATATGCACAAGAGTTGTTAAGAATTGGAATAATATCCATATACTCGGTGATTAGTTAATGCTGTAAATCAAGAATAAAAATCACTCTAATACTCAATCCATGTAAACAAACATGACATAATGTGTTATATATATATATATATATATATATATATATATATGCGTGCAAGCACTTCATACATTTCAATTTCATAACATTCACAATGTACGTACCTATTGTAGGCAAAAGAGATTCTGTGTCGTGCTAGTGAAAACTCATCGTCCAAACCTTTTGTTAGAGAAAGGTTAAAAAAGGCACCACCACCTCTTAGACCGCAATTATCAGTTTCTAAACTAAGAGCAGGTTTGTTTTCTTTCATTACAAAGTTGCAAATGGTTGTAGTTTGGTTTTAAGTCGTGTTTCAATTTTCCCTCTAAACAAATAAGTAATTTGGCTTTCAAACTTTGTAAATTTTCAAATATCCCCCTATAGATAATTAAATTTTCTCATGTGATGGAAGTTTTTATTGGCAGAAATTTTCAATTAAGTTCCCTTACTTTTCTTCCTCTCATTCTCTAATTCGTTTCTTGCTCAAGCTTTTCAAGGGTTTTTGGGTTTGAAAGTTTTAGGATTTCTTTTGACACATGTGATTCAGAAACAAAATCAAAGCTTAAAAACATGATTTGTGCCAATATGAGAACAAAAGCCATAGGTTTAATCAAGTACTCCTGAGCTTTATGAAGTAAAACCGTAAAATGATGATAAATTTGGTATTTGAAAAGTTAAAAATAACGTGTGAAAATCGCTTTCCTTACTAAACGCACTAGTTCTTATCGGGAAAAAGAAAAGGGCTAATTTATAGATGGGGCTGCCTGTAATTTTTTGGTATATATTGCAAATATGAAAACTTTTAGGTGCATCTTCTCCATAGATATTACAAACTAGTTTATTACACTTGAACTATTTCAGGGGTTCCAATGGCAAGGAGACATTCCCTGCAATGTTTTCTTGAAAAGCGTCGTGGCAGGTAAAGAGTATTCTCTCATCTCTTATACTTCATGAGTTTTCTTATTTTGTGTGTAGTATCTATGTGACTTCTATCCTCAATTGACACATATTAATAAATTTAATCCTTCCTAACATTTTACAATTAACAAATTGTGACCACGTTCAAACTTGCAACACATCTTCCCCTTTTCCCCTCCTTTTCTTCCCCACTAACTTGTGACCCCAACTCTTCATTAAGATCGAGAAATTTTTCAAAGTTATTGGTACACAACTGAATATATTATGTGTTATAATATAAGTATAAATAAATTGTTCTTTAAATGTTCATTTATTTATATTATGACACATGATATACCGAACCGTATTCCAGATTAGAAAGGAGAGAATATATTATGTGTTATAATATAAGTATAAATAAATTGTTCTTTAAATGTTCATTTATTTATATTATGACACATGATATACCGAACCGTATTCCAGATTAGAAAGGAGAGAAAAGAGAGAGAGTAGGCTATATCCGAACCGAAAGGAGTCCAAAGCTCACGCTGGCGTCAACTTGGAGGAGCAAGAAACCCTTGGATTTTTTTTTTTCGGTTAAATAAAAGAATTAAATTGCCTTTCTAGGGGTATCAAAAGAAAAATTATAGAGTTAATTAATTTGTAGAATTTTCCTCATATTATTACAAATTGAGGACAAAAGTAAACATAATATACACCCATGATTTAGGGATCACTGGCTTGATACATTTCAATTTTCTCAGATTGCACTGGTGTAATATTTTTGTATATTTGATTGTTTGATAGACTATATGAGTGCTTTGTGTGATTTGGAAGTAGACAAAACCTAACACGTCAACATTTAACAATTAACCAAATGATCAATCAAACCTAAAGGTTATATTGGGGTTATTTATGTGAAAACGACATGGTCTCCAATATGAAAAAAATTCAAACCTCATAGCCCATTTTAAGAATGACAACCAAATCTTGGGTGAAAAATTGTTGTTTGTCTTTTAGAGATTAATAGTCTTTTTTTACCCATAAAAATAATTAATACCTAATCAATTTACTTTTGTATTTACATACATTGTGCTTTTGCAGGATCATCAACAAATATCCTTATGCCCTTCATTCTGGAAAACAAGAGGACAATGAGGCAGTCATAAACAACCAGTCAAATGAAAATCATAAAATTTCTCTTTCACCTTTCCCTTCACGTTTAGGTTATTTTTCTCCTAAATTATTTAACGAAGGTTGTTAAGGAGAATTTATGGTCTATAAACCTTAGGGTGCTATATATGTAACGATATGTTTATATTAAGGGATGGGTAAAAATAATTGGTTATGAACTTATTGTTTACGAGATTTGAACCTAAAACCTCTCACTTACAAATGAAGAGGAATATATATCACTACATTGTAGTACTAAATGACATTAATTCATTAAGTGACTATATATAAAGTCAAATGTAATTTTTTATTATGTCTAATAAAGGTGAAAGGCTTCATTTTATTATGAAATTCATTAGTACTTGAGGATTTCATACTACATGGCATTAAATGTTACACGCAATGATTTCTGCATGCTTTAGTTATATGGCAGTTTGGTGTTTTTTCCTTTCATTTTTTAACTTCTTGTACGTAATGACTTCTGCAAATACCTAAATAAGAGGAATCCAAATTGATCTACACATCCCCAAGAGAAACGCAAACTGCTGCCCATTATATTCATAATCACAGCCAGTGGCGGATCCAGGATTTTAAACTCGGGAGGTCCCAATAATAAAGGTTAAAAAATTTATAGACAAAAATAACATTGAAAAGTTAAATATAATACATTTTATTCAAAAATCATTTGCATAACAATATTACAAGCTATAAAATCCTAATTCAAGCGTCCACGACGAGGTTTCATGGTCTGAAAATGTTCTATGATAGCTTCATTACCAATACATGAAAAAACATCTTTCTCAATGTAAACAACTAAGCTGTCACTCAACCATTGATCTCCCATTTTGTTGCGAAGTGGACCCTTAATGATATTCATAGCGGAAAATGCCCTCTCCACTGAAGCAGTTGTAACCGGTAAAATCAAAGCCAACTAAACAAGCAAATGTACATATGCAAATGTTTGATGCAACCCTTTCTCCACCATTTTCTTAGCAAGCTCATTAATTCCCCGCAATTGAGAAAAATCATTATCAGAACGCACAAAATGAATGTAAATATCAAGTTGATCTTGAAGTGCCGATCTATCTCGATCCGTGAAATCTTTAGGATACATATGAGCAAGGCGAACAAGCTTCTCTTTATCAAAAGCTACAAATGAATCATTCGGACTCAAGCATGCCAAGCAAATAAGCAATTCGGTATTACCTTCAGCGAAGCGATCATCTAATTCTGTAAGTTGGAAATCAATGACCTCGAAAAAGAGCTCCACTTTGTAATGATGATGATTGGTCTTTCTTGGAGCCTTACGCAATGACTTCCCTTGAATGACATATAAATCATCCATATTAGGCACCTCAATTTCATGTTCAACACAAAAATATGATACTTTATCAACCAAAAGATCAAAATTTTCATCATTCCTCATGAAACGTAGTTGTTCTTTACATGTCTTGACTAAAGCCATTGCATTCACAATCTCTTGATCTTTTTTTTGCCATGCTTGTGACAAATCGTTTGTAACTCCTAATATGGATTTCATCAAAAAGAGGAGGAACACAAACTCAAAAGATTGTAAATCTTTTAATAACCTTTTTGCTTCACCAACACTATCATTGTAGCAATCTTCAACAATCATGTCAAACACATCCACCACAGATGAGAACATTGTAATCAAACTAATCAAAGCACCATAATGTGAATTCCACCGTGTATCCCCAGCACGTTTGAGACTAGTTTCTTGATTTAACCCTTGCCCCGTTTCAAGACAATCATTTTCAATAGCTTTCAAGAGATTTTCTTGTTGTTTCTCTCTAAGTGCATCACGACGCTTACATGAGCATCCAACAACATTTACCAAACTATTAGTCAATGTGAAAAAAGCGGCAACATCGGAGTTTTTCTTTGCTACGGCAACAAGAGCTAATTGTAGTTGATAAGCAAAACAATGAACATAAAATGCACAACTTTCTTCATCCAAAATTTTTTTTTAAGGCCATTGAACTCACCTCTCATATTACTCGCACCATCATAACCTTGACCTCGTAGGTTGGAGTAGCTCAAGTCATGTAGTTTCAAGAACTCATCAATGGACTCCTTTAGTTTACTTGAAGTTGTTTCGGTAACATGTTGGACTCCCACGAACCTTTCAATTACTTGACCTTTGTTGTCCACATAACGCAAAATCACCGCCATTTGCTCCTTTGTTGAAATATCACGTGATTCATCTACCATTATAGAAAAGAATTTACTCTCTTTCACTTCTTTCATAATAGCCTTAATAGTTTCGAAGGCACATGAATTGACAATATCTTTTTGAATTGAAGGAGCTATTAGCTTAAGATTTCCCGGAGCATTTTCTAACACAACTTCCTTTATTTTCTCATCATGATCTGCAAGGAATTGTAAGAGCTCTAAATAATTCCCCCTATTATTCGAAGTGTCACTTTCATCACGGCCACGAAAAGGAAGGCCTTGTCGCAATAAGAACTTAGTGCAATCTATTGATGCATTCAAGCAAAGACGAAATTTCATACACTCTTCTTCTGATTGTTTGATCACAACTGCTTCAATATGTGTCTTTTGGTTCATTAGATAACTAGCCACTTCTCTAGCTTTATTGTGGAAACTACCAATAGGACCAACATGTTTGTCAAAACATTCTCTTGCATTCTTCCATTTCTTAAAGCCTACCCCAGTGAAGGCATCACTTCCTAATTGTGAAAAGTTGATTTTAAAGAGATAGCAATGAAGACAAAATGCCGCATCTTTAGATATACTATACTCCAACCAATCATATTCTTCAAACCACGAAACAACAAATCGTCGCTTTTTCTTTGCATGCAAAGTGTATGGGAACTCATACTTTGTAGGCATACAAGGTCCCATTTGCAAATATGCTCTGCGGACCTCATCTTGAATATTAGAAGGATAGTCCTTCATTCGAATTCTTTTTCCCGGGTCTCTCTCAAGATTATTAAAATCAATGTCACACTCATTTTGTCTTGAGCTCGAACTACACGAACAAGTAGATGGTGCTATTGGCTTTGGCTTGAAAAATCTTTCCATATTTCTTATTTCTAAACTACACATTTAACCAAAAACACAAAACATCTACCAATCAACCAATAAACAAAAATTCCATCTAAATTTCAATTATAAAATGATTATACAAACATAAAACACATCAACAATCATATCAATAATAGACTAAAAATCTCCACCAATATCTAATATAATTTAATTGAGATTAGATTAGAATACCAAAAAACTTACTTGAATTTGGAACCAAATAGTGGTGGCTTGGAGAATTGAAACAAGTGGAGGTATAATATTGGAGTAATGTAATTATAATATGGGATTGGGTGGGATTAGAAATTTAGGGTTTTGGGTGAATATAAGAAAGATGGGGGGATTAGGGGGAAAAGCAGTGGAAGGAACGGGGAAAGGAGAAGTGAAAGGGACGACAGGAAAAATGGCCCATGTGGGGCTAGACTTTCAAAAAGAATATGTAATCATGTTGCAAACGGTGGACCAATTGCAAACGTTGATTTCATTGGTTTAATAAAAAAAAAGGCCAAAACACTGCGTTTTGGACCAATTTTTTTAATGCCCTGATTTCTTTCTTCTCCCCTGTTTTCTTCTTCTTCGTTGCAACCTGCAACCTGCTGCTGCAGCAACACAGACTGTCTGCACAGGCCTCGTGTTCGAGTACGAGGGGTCCTCCGGAAAATTTCTAGCAACATTTTAGGATGGCCGAGGGGTCCTGGGATCTCCCAGGACCCTCTGTAGATCCGTCACACGTTAGTTAAAGGAGAAATTTTGCAAGAGTTTATAAAAGGTTGGGCTATTTTATATATTGCTAATTGGTTCTATGATGGAATCTCATCTTTCTTTATGGTAACAGAGCAGGTTGGCTCACATGTGAAGCTTAACAGCTGCACGTGTTTCATGTCACCCAATATGTGTTGTCCACTTGTTTCACTTGATAATTGTCACATGTGAGAGGGCGTGTGAAGATGTGAAGGTTACAGAGTCTCATGTTGGTGAAAAAAGAAACCTTGTAAGGACTTATAAGAGGTTGAGCTACACGACATATTACCGATTAGTTTTATGATCAACCTCAACTTTCTTTGTTCAGACATTGCTGCCGATAATGCAACCATCCGCGAGGTGAAATGAGCGAGAAGTGGCCAAAACCAACATAAGGAAGAATTTTGCGCGAGCGTGGAGCATGTAAATGATGGATTAGTGTTGCATAAAAAAAAATTATGAAAGTTTCGACGTTTCATTCCGAGTCCAAAACAATGATCTACAATTGAAGACCCGGCAGAAGTTTGAAAAACAAAGCAAACTTTATTTGCAGCTTCATCAATAACTCAATTGATATTGCTCGTCTTTGTGGTTCTCTAAATCCACAAACAGATGCTGGTAGCCTGGTATATACCTGTATGCAAGTAAAGACTTCTCCTTAGGTTGCACATTTGCACCACAAAAACTCCGAAACAAACCGAACAAATAGGCCAAGCAACACAACACAAAAGAATATTTATATAAGTGCAAACTCTAGCAACGATGCTTTGCATAAACAACTAGCCTTGATCCACGATTCAATTTATTAGTTTGTCTACACATTAAGAATAGTTTTCTTTTCAAAGTATACTTGACTTTATATATCAAACTGGATATGAAGCTGATCAAAGTGCTATCGTACATCAATACTAGGCTAGAAATTAACTTCGTAGAATACTTAGAGCTAAAATTAGAGTGAAAGAAGTATAATTAAGAAAATTAGTAAACATTAGTATAATTAAGAAAAATTAGTAACATTCATCAACTTTTCAAGCTCGTCACTTTGTAGAGATTATTTCATCACTAACAGCATGTCGACCATATAATTTGATTTTCTTTCAATAAGTAGGCACATTTTTGAAATTCGAAGAAAGAGAGGAAGAGAATGTTACATACTACATTGATGAATTAAAAAAGGACGATTCCAAGCCAACAAAGTTCTCTGTTTTGCGAGGGTCGGGGGATGGAACATTTATCTTATGCAACCTTACGTTTGCTTTGCAAAGCGGTTGTTTCCACGATTTTGGACCCGTGACCTTTCGGTCACAAAAGACCAAGATTTTCATTGCGCCAAGACTCGTCCTCACCACATTGATGAACTAATATTGTTTATTTTAAGTGACTTGGTCATGCAGTTTCACCCTTATAGTCAATACATACCAATTGGAGATAACACGCAATTCCAGGGAGATCAACTATTTAGATTAAACTTTGTAAATTATATGACGTGGTTGTTGATTATTGAATTATTACTTAAGTATTGATTAATATGTTTATTTTCTATTAGTGACACGTTTTAGAATTTGTAAATTTTATCTAAAAAATTAGTCTACTTAACATTACTCTGAGATAATTTACTAACTTTCAAAAGTTGACCACATATTCTGACCAACCCAAAGATGACCACTGTTTATAAACTCGAGTTAAGTTTGCTGAATACTATACATAGATAGAAGTAGTTAGAAACTTTCAAAAGTTGACCACATATTCTGACCAACCCAAAGATGACCACTTATAAACTCGAGTTAAGTTTGCTGAATACTATACATAGAAGTAGTTAGAAAAGAGTACTGCATTTTTGCTCACCACCATTTATGTGGTGTATGCTCATCATCCTGTTTATCACCGTAGATGAGTTTAAATTTTGAGATTTGTGCTTATTCACTACATGAATCTCGAAATTCAAACTCATCTAATGATGATAAATAGGGTGGTAAGCATACACCACACTAAATGGTGGTGAGCAAAAATGCTTCCGTTAGAAAATGCACACATATATAGAATAGAAAATAGCACTCGCAATATTCTTGAGGGAATCAAATTACACATGTCATTAATTTATTCTTGATCTGCTAAAATGGACAATTGTACATGTTCCTTAATCCTTACACTTCCAGGTAATTAACTACAATATATTAAGACTAATTAACAAATAATATTAAACTACACTCAAAACCAAAGGGCATTTGGAAGTCAAAGGAGAACAAATGATTAAACAACAAATTTAATAATTTTGTTTAGACACGCAAAAGTATGACAAAAAATGACAATTTTGCGTGTCTAAATAACATTTCTCAGAATTCGATTACCCAGTTATTTGCCAGGCGTAAGAGGGAATCCAATACCGTGTCTCCTGGTGGGGAAGACCACAAAAAGCAAGCTGCAAATGAGCCCTATACCAACTGGAGCAATGTCCAAGACCTCCTGAGTCTGATGGCCTGGTGTGGGATAAAAGCACCCCAAAACATTCTTGTCCCTCAAAGCCACAGCGCCAAACACAAATACAGACAAAACTGCATGAACCAAATCAATGAATCTTATCTTGTACTTGCTCAAATCCGGCAGCCCCGAACCCGAAGCATCCGGGTAGTCAAACACAAACAGGCCCTTGGTGGTTGCCAACCCGTAGTAGACTTGTCCGTCCATAGCCTTGATGCTGTCGGTGAGGGACGCGAGAAAGCACGAGAGGCCGAGGAGAAGGAGGAGGATCAAGGTCATGGGGCGTGTGGCGGCATCGCAAGAGCCGTTGCCGGTGAAGATTGGGATGAGGAGTTGGAAAGCAAGGAGGGTGCCTGTGGGGAGGAGGTTGGCTAGGTTTGCTGTGCTCGTTAGGGTTTGGGAGATGGCACGTTGGGAGAAGGTGGGTTGAGGTGGTTGGGGGCTTTTCGGGGTTTCATCAGGTTCTGTATCGGAGGAGGAGGTGGAGGTTGGTTGTGGCGCGACAGGGGTGATTGTGGAAGTTGCTCTTGGTCTAAGAGACATGTTTGCTAGCTACAGCCTAGCTGCACAAGGGTTTAGAAGTATATATATGTATGTATATATATTAATTGTACGACCGTAGCAGGTGCGGTGGTGGACGCGGCGGAGGGAGCGATATGGTTGTAGTTGTGGTGATCTTGAGATCAATTGTTGGTGTATTTGGATAAGAGAGACTTGGCGTATAGGGATAGCTAGAATATTGATTGTTGGGATGGCTAATTAGGGGGAGTGCCATAGGACTTATATATATAGAGAGAGAGAGAGAGAGAGAGAGAGAGAGAGAGAGAGTAATAGTTAGGTTGATGGAAAATGATATGATATGATAAGAACGTAGTTGTTGCTTGTCTTGGAAGGTAGTATTTCCAAGGAGTAGGTCAAGCTTTTGACATCTTCAATGTTCAGGGGCTATCTCACACGTTTAAATGCGTAAAGTTATGTATCTGAATGCATAATATAATATTTGTTTTTTCGATCAATATATGCACAATACAGTAATATATACGTCAAGTTTTCGATAGATTTTTCAATGCATGGAGCGCGGTTCCGTATAAAAAATATCACAACACAATTTATTGGATAATTGAAAAGAAATTTCAATCATTTATATTATGACAGTTGGTGTATTAGACGGGTTCTCGACACATCAAAAAATTTCTCCTAATTGTTGAGTTCGAGTACAATAATATGTAATGCAAAATTTAAGAATTAATTTTCTAAGCTTAGTAGTATTTAAAAATTTGAAAATATTTGAATCACGTTGACAAATTTCGACGACTTATTTGTACAATACAGGTCATGATTTTCCAGCTTCTAAGTTGGCAAGAGTCATTAATAAATTTTTTTTTTTTTCCTAGAAAGAACAATTGACTTCCATCTTAGAAAAATTAATATCACACAAATAATAGGGAAGAATAATCGTAAAATGATGAAATTTTTTACCGTAGTGTGATTTGTACTAGCACCTGCCTTTGCACAGTAATATTTCTCCCTCTTAATTATTAAATTTGGTATGGTAGTTTGTTTCTTCACAAAAATTTATAAGAAGGTGTAGTTTATGGGGCATTCACATACTTAAATTGTTTTTATTTATTTTTTATTTTTTTGTCTTCTGGGTTTCTACACTCATTTTAATATCCACTCATAAATCCTCACTTAATTCAGTTATTTGAAGATGTCCTTGATGGTTTTTAACTGAATGTTACATGATTGTATACCGACATACATGGAGAAATAATAGGCACGTTGAATTTCGGGCTTCCACCTCACTTTTGGCAGTGGATAGGGAATACCGCGTTACTTGAAAAACCCCTATATGACGGTACTGGATTAATGTTCAATCAAAAGGTGCATTGCATATGATCAACCAAAACAAAGTTATCCATGCACGGCACCAATAAAATCGAAATAAATTTTCAATTTTAGACCTTGACTCTTGAAACGGAGCAAAATTATGATGCAGAGGACCATGTCTGATTCAAAAGTGATTAGTTGAAAACGAGCTTTATGGTGACTCTCTAAAACCTAGCTAGGTAGCAAAATTTCAGTAGGAAAAATGCTCCTAATCGTAGGGGAAAAAAGTACATTAAGATCAAGTGAGAATACTTATGGATACTCCCCTTAAGTTTGACAGAACTTCTAAATGAGAACTACAAGCATTGCATATGATAGTTAGGCATACCAATTCCTCGGACAAACTTCTAGAAGGTTGACTTCGGCAGTGATGTCGTGTAGAGGTCGGCAAGGTTGTCTAGGATCGGCTTGCATGACTTCAATCTCCTGATGCTTTGCTGATGTAGACGCAATATGTCTCGGTACCTTCAGGGGGATTGAACCCGCTCAAGATGCGTTGGGATTCGCCCTCAAAGTACCTTCAGGGTACGTCTTTAGTACCAATTCAGTGGATGCGTGTAGGTGCGGTGCTGCATTTTTACCAGTAGATCAACAGCGAATGAGATGTCCCATCTAAATATAATGAGCTAAGTACAACGAAGCATAATGTTGAACTCAGATATGGAATTTCGGATTCCATAACCTTTTCAAAGGTCTTATTTGTATATAACGTATGGACGATCAAAGGTATACTCAAAAGTGACACATTCAGGGTGTAGTTCGACTGGTAGACCAAAATATCGTCAGAATAATGCTTCAACTTTAGGTCAAGGAATAAACGAGTTTTCCCAAGATCCCTCATCTCAAATTTCATCTTCATGTGCGAGGCAGTTTTCTCATTCTTTTCTGCAGTATTAGTAAGATTCGTGTCAACGACATAAATTGTAACCCTAGCAATTCCTAATAAGACTTTATAGTTTAACACGTAAGGGCATAATTTATATCCTGACTAATCAAATAATCATTTAGACAAGTATACCACTTCCGTCGGATTTTTCAATCCATAAGTGAACACTTCAAAACGAGTTAAGAGGGTGTTCCATTGTTTGGAACTATTTGAATCAGTACATGTAATTCTTCGAGAACTTACACGTAAATCTCTGTATCTATATCCCTATGGAGAAACACTAACCATATTTCACAATGATGTTATCAATCATAGGACGTTTAAGAAAAACCTTGCATCGTAAGGCATGCATCATATTGCACTATTTCATTCATCTCATAATGCTTCATTTCCCACTTGTAAGATAACTGGGTTACCTTCGGCAATGTAGGAACGATAGGTCCAAAACACATTTTAGTAAGGAATTTGACCTAGATTGTAATTTCAGTTGTCCAATCAGTTCTACGTTGTCACTTAATCAACGGAACACGGTTCGATATCATTGTTTTTCATTTATGTCGGTAGCTACCATATAAGTGAAAACATCATCGATGGTAATCTCATTTCAATTCCATTGTCTCATCCAAAGTAGTATACTGAACCAAGAACTTCAAGTCTCGAGAGTAATCTGGATTAATCTCATGAGATGGAAATGATTTGAGACAGCGATAAAGTATAGATTCATTGTTGTCCCATGTCTTCTTTTTCTAGGGAAGTAAATCCTATGAATTGAATGACCTGTGGTGCTCAAAGCCAAGATAGATTGATTGGCTATCCACCGGTGTACCGGATCATCCAACAAGGGCGTCCAAACTGTCAAACAGGGACGACATATCCTCCATAATGGCTATCCACCCGTATCACACTTGTGCGGTACGGGGATTGAGATGAGACATAATGGGCAATGTCCACACAAATTTGCGTCGTTCTCCAGAAACGTTGACGTTCTTATCTTCCCTTAACGGCGTGAAGACTGTCTCATTAAAGTGACAACTCGCAAATGAATGATAAAGAAATCGCATGCAAGGGCTCTAAGAGAGCTAGTGTGAAGGAGAAACATGATTGACAAAGATTCACATCTTTCTTTGAGGACCTATATTGGTACATTGCAGCAGCGCAACTTGGCACATAAAATGCACATCCAAATACGTAAATACGAAAATCATCGGGTTCGTACCCAGTAACCAACTGCAACGTCAAATAAGTTGGGTGGCAATGGGCTTCAAGGTGGACCAACATAACCGCGTACAAGATTGCAGAAACCGAAAACTTGGTATGTTTACTAAAATTTGGGCAATCATTTACATTGCACTTTATGATTGCTAGGCGAGGCTATTTGGGGTGAACATAGGAATTCGATGTTCAATTATAAACCCAAAATACATGCAGTACTTTATCGAAAACCGTCGACATAAACTCTCTGGCATTATCCAGTCTCCTAGACTTTATGGGATAAGTAGGGTGGTGAACCCTTAATCAGCCAAGAGGTTTAGCAACAATGTGTGTGGACAAACATGTGACCAGTTTGTCGATTCATTAACCAAAACCATAAGTATTTATATGGTCCACATTTTGGTTGGATTACATATATTCCCTTAAATCCACTGTGAAGAGAGTTGTTTCGTATCTTTGTAAGGGATGATATAAAAATCAAATTTCCCAAACGAGTGGGCTTTGGCAAGTGTGTTTGTAGGCACAAGATCTTTACTTCGAGTAAAGAGATGCATCGTAGCATCGTTGGTTGACCTAAGTGTCCCAAATGGTCGTGCCAAAACAAATAAACTGCTCGAATCACCCGGCTCCAGGCTGGCCACATGTGGCGTGTGCCCTAGTTAGGAGACAACACATTGGCCCTAAATCAAAGCTTCAGGCTCATTTTTGGAGGTGGTGCAAAGATATTTCACTCTGTTTGCTTCAGTGGTTTCATTCATGATCATTTTCCTCTCGAATATCTTTAAAAACTCAACGACATGGAGAATTTAAGGTCCCCTTAAATGGTGATGCAGTACCATTCATACAATGAGGAACGTGTCAATGCTTTTAATCAGGTTGGATAGACTTGAAGTCGTTGTTAGAGATGTGATTTAGGGGTAAAATTTGTATGTGTAGTATCGCATTCATCCAGACAACTAACTTCCCTACATTCCTAACTAATCACGCTTCAGGCATGATGTCACACCTTGGCATACCCTAATTCTACCATAGGTTGTAAAAACAAACTCAAAATTGGATCATGAGAGAGACAGACCCGAACTTGGGTTTGGTAGGCTCCAATCAAAGCTGGAGAGGTCTGTTAGGTAGGTCTGCAAACACGAAAAATTCCTGAAACAAGAAACAAGAATACGTGTACAAAATAATATTTTTGTGTTTAATGATTTTGGGGTTACAACCTCTTTGTAATTTGATCCTCTGATTCTATCTTCGTAGGGTGTAGGTTTGTGGATGAGTTGTTGATCCAAAGGGCCGTCGGGGCTTGATCTAAGGATGAAAAGTTGATGAACGGATCTTCAAGGGGCATCGGGCTTGATCTTGAAGAATGGGTGTATGGGTTTGTTGAGGTTGTTGATCCAAAGGGCCGTTGGGGCTTGATCTTAGGATGAACAGATGATGAATGATGAACACTTTCTTCAAGGGGCCGTCGGGGCTTGATCTTGAGTTGGTGGGAGTTCTTCAAGGACCGTTGGGGCTTGATCTTGAAGGAGGATTTGACGAAGAACGAAGAGTGCTTTCTTGATCCTTCGGGATTTTCTTGAGAGCTTTAGAACTTTAAGGCTTCAAGGTTTTGGTGTGTGTAGGGAGTATTCTCTTCCATTTTGGGAGTAGAGAAATGTATTTGTGAATTGGTGTCTCTTCCTCTTGATGGAGAAGCCTATTTATAGGCTTTGAGAGTGAATCACCACCATTCATTTTTTTGGTGAAGTGAGTGGATGATGTAGGTGAAGTGAGTGGAGGTTGTAGGTGAGGTAAATGGATGATGTAGGTGAAATGAGTGGAGGTTGTTGGTGAAGTGAGGGAATGATATAGGTGAAATAAGTGTTGTATTGGTTAACATTTATTTCACTGAAATTTCGATGTCTACAAGGTCTCTGCAGAAGCAAAGTAATACTACTTGGTGTACCTTTGCTGAAGTAGAACATGCCTTTCGATGCATCCATGCCGAAGCAGGGCATCACAGTTCGGTAGGCTTTGACCGAACTGGGTTGAGTCATTCGGTAAACTCCAGTCAAACTGGGTTCATACCTTTCTCTCACGTTTGTCGTACTAATCAGATTCGAGAATTTGGTAAACTTCCACTTTATACACTGCTGCTTCAGGAGTGAGTTAGAAACATGGAAGGACGAGAAAAGTATTCACCAGTCAAAATTCGATCGGATTTATAAACTTCATAATTGTACTCATTTATGGATGTAATCATGGTGTGCTTCAAGCAGTGTCTTGTACCCCACATAAAGTGGTTTCTATTAGAAACGTCCAAATAAGGGAAATCGAACTTGTGACGGTTCAACAATCCATTGAATTAGAGGGAACAAGATTGTGATTGGTGCTATGAGAATGAATCATCCATAAGCATCAAAGTTAGAACATTCGAGTTCTAATATATGGTTTTCATGAAAAACGTTGGGTTTTCATGTATGTATTGTTTTATGAAAACTTCGGGTTTTAAAGGCACTAAATTTGAAACTACAGGTTCAATTTAGTTTATGAACGTTAGTTCATAAAAGAAAGGTTCCTGTAAGAACACATAACGCAATATGTTGATTTAAGTGTAGTGGATTTGAGTTTCTTCGGGAACTCAAGTGTGAGAGCTTCGTTACTACGAAAGTATGTCAATGGTTCAAAGTACAAAAATAAATTATTGAATCGTTAATGTCCAAAAGTGATCTTCAGGTCAATAATTTTGAATTCATTATCAGATTAATGGATTGCATGTCACTTTTAATTAACTCAATAGATTGAAACCAAACGGGGTCGATTGTAGAAGCAAAAATAATAGCATTAGGTCGAAAATACCATAGCTACAAAATTGGGTTGGGTGTCGTGAGCATTGGGCACGGGTGTGGCTGCAATAGCAGCCCATGAGGTGGCTTCAGGCCATGGGCCGAGTGATAGAAGCCTAGCAATCATGGCCATAACGCAAGGATAGGCCCAGAGGCTTACGGGCGCGAGGGAAACCCCAACCACAGCTAGGTTTCTAGTTTGGGCTGAAGGGGGCACGGGTCAGGCCCAGGGAAGTGCTGACCTGCAGGTTTATGCGTGCGAGTACTAAGCCCAGCCCTGTGGGCTGACTAATTGAGGCACGGGCTATGGTAGTGGCAAAGCCCAACAGCAAATTGCTGGTGTGGGCTGAGGTGAAAATGGACTAGCCTAGCATGCGTTGGTGTGGGTCGGGGCTGCAAGCTCGTGGTAAAGAAACCAAACCAGGCACACGCCTTGGTTGTCCACATTGTGCAGTGAAGCCCAAAGGCTTCGACAAAGGTCCGAGACGTCAAACGACATCGTGTCAATGAGGGTTTCCACATGGCTGGGCTTCAAGCTAGCACGGTGGTCCTTGTGGTGGTGCTGCAAAGTCTCTATATCCCTTTTTTTTTTTTTTTTTTTTGAAATTGTTAGGGTTTTACAAACCCTAGATTTGCTTAGGGTTTGTAATTTATGAATATACTTTGACTCACGATTCCACATAGCAATTTAATTGCGTAATGCATGAAACAAATATATATATATATGGACAAATATATAAAACATATACAATATATATCGGAAGGTAAATATAAATGTAGGGGGTTCATGCATCATGGGGAATGTTTTCATGCTTCATGGTCGTTTCAAATATCTTCCTTTATTTTAAGCGTACCTAATTGATAGAAAACTACAAAAGCCTTTGAATTTGTAGAAGATCCTTCTCAGAAAGCCGGAATTGCATCTCCAATGTGTTGTATCACGTTCAACATAGAAAAATTAAATTGAATCAATAGCATGTAGATTAATTCAATAAAATAATAGATTAATCATAAAAAGAATGATTAAAAACGTAATCTCCCCTGATTGAAGAATAAATTCTCTTGTTAGTACAGCATCAAGAGCGTGCTGATAACATATTGTAGGCATAATTTACTGAACGATTACGGAGGTCATAGAGACAGAGAAATGTGCGGCATAGAGAGAGAAAAAGAGATATGTGTAATTGTGAGGTGTGTTATATTCCACCCCATTGTGCCTTTATGTATAGTAGTAGGGAAGGTTAATTCCTTACCCTTTTAGGATTACAACTCTTAATGGATAATCAACTCCTAATAGGAATATAAGAGATATTCCTAGATACACTAAGATTTACACAATCACATTCCTAATCTAATAGGACTGCAACAGAGATAAGTTTCTTACAAACACACGCAAGGTCAGTTGCTAATACTTTAATTTGCTAACTGGATTGCTACCTTCGTTAGAGTTACGTTTTTTCTATGTGGCACAACAAATCTAACTTTGCTAACCTCCCTTAGAAATGCTCTAACTAGGAGGATATATAAAACACTTTATAAAGTCCTCATGTATTTTGTCGCGGTCTCGGAGTGAAGACTGCGGAAGAATGTCAAGTAAGGTATTTTGACGAAAAGTTAGTGGAAGGGTTTTTTTAGTACATGCATCAAAGGCTTGCATAATATACCTCTATCTCCATGTGGTACCTGGAGAACCTTGTCCAACCACTTTGTCGGCATTCCGCCATTGCCTACCACCCTTCTTCACTCATTATTCCTCCTTTATATTTTCCTCATCTCCTTTTTTGCCAAAACTAAGTAATAAAAAATTTGTGTTAACGTTCAAAATTTGCAAGTCAAACCTAGATGAATCTAGGTGGACACGAACATACTTTAAACCTAACAATCAAAGATATATAACTCTTGGTGGGCTTTAGGATTTGGACTGAATTTTAAATAAACAAAGATGTAAGTGGTTCACCCCCACTCTACGTGGACTAGCTCGCTGACACTTTTTTACCTGTCAACAACATTCGGTAGTGAAGTGACTGATATCCAATTGAATGCACGTCGGCCTAGAATAAAGTAGCCTATTCCTCTCGGTCAATCTCAGTTACTTAACCTAATATGCCTAATCGTTATCCCGACACACTTTGTGTCCTATCTTGGGTCTTCAACGTTGTGACTTGAATGACATTTGAGTAGGCCTCTCTCTAGAAATCCGTGTTACGAAGTTGTCAGTCTGCTCATGTATTCTTCGATCGGCATTTAAGGCCTATCCTGGTCAGCTGGCTTCCAGGTCGGTATGCGAGGATCTCGACCATGTCCTTCCCCAGGCTTCCGAACCTTTTGGGCTTATGTCCCTTGGGCTTTTTCAAGGCCTTATTCTAACTTGGTGTTCCTTAATAGGCACAAAAGTGTCAAGTGTTATTAATTTGTGTCATTTTTCTTCATGATATTATGCATGGATCAAATATATCATCTTAAATATTTCTAAGCACAAATTCTCACAATTAAAAACAAAAACAAAATAGCTTTTAGTTTTTGAAAAATGTAAAACAAAAATTGTGTGTTTATTTCAGAACCCAATGATCAATATTATAGTATGAAAAATATTAAAGAGCCTTTGTTTTTAGAAATCCAACCATTAATCGACACAATATAATTTACGAATTATAGTTCATATATATGATCTTTCCAGCATCACTCATGTAATAGACTTGTATTTGATCGAATTTGGAGTGCACAGTGGAACTTGAATGTGGTTCGTGGTTTTAAAGAGTAACCATGGTTATTGCCGTGATGTCTATAGTAACCATGGTTGTTGCCGTGATGTTACCATTTCATTTTTTTGATGATGTAATACCGTGATGTATTGCAGTTATAGCCACGATTCATTGTGCCAGTACCTGCAAACCCTGACTCCAGAGAAAAAGCAAGATTTTCAAAACCCTAATCCCCAAATGGCCAGCTATTCCAAACCCTAATTTCTGCGATTCAGTTCGTCCAGGAAAAAGGTCATTCTCTCTATCTCTCTCTCCCCTTCCTTTTGCTGCAGATAAACTTAAATCTAAAGAGTATGCGTGTTTTTGTGGTGGTATACGTTTTGGTGGGTTTGAAGTGAAATGGAAGTTCTTAAGCTTTCAATGCTGCTCAGATTGTGACTTAGATGTTAGCATTTTTGGTAACAACATGCTTAATTTTTCCTGAACGTTTTTTGTTTTCTCATTTGAACGAATCGAACAATTTTCGATCTTCCAAGCTTACAATTACTGCTCTTAATTAGATATTGTAGTCTGATTTGCTTACTGATGTTGTTTTTTTTCTTTCTTTCCTTGTTAAATTTTTTGAAGTTTGTTAGTAGATCATGAGGACCAAACAACCGTGCAGGGGAAGAGGAAGGCCACGGAAAACGCCAAATGTGGTGAGTGAGAGAGTGGTGAGTGAGAGGGTGGTCAGCGAGCGAGTGGTCAATGAGAACGAAAACGCATTCTTGAATTTTGTAAATCACAATACTCACAATGTTGAAGAAGGAAATATTCTTGAGTGTTATGAATCTAGTCGCGAAGACCGTGATGATGAGGAATTTAACCCTGAAATGGAGATTGATTCAGCTAGTAATTCTACTTCAATCGGGAGCGACTGGTCAGGTGGGGATCAAGATGGGGATCAAGATGTGAGCTCTGTGGATAAGGCAGTGCAAAAATTGCTTAAGTATGTTGAAGAAAGCCGCCAGAGGGAAAAATCGTCCAAGAAGATTGATCGTGCGCAAACTAAACAATTGACAGGCTTGGGTTCTCGGAATAGATTCCCGAATGAGGAAGAGGCGCCTTCTCATAATCGTCCGCAAACTAAGGCATTGACAGGCACGGGTTCTTGGAGTAGATCTAGGAATGAGCAAGAGGCGCCTTGTCATAATCCTGCGAAAACTAAGGCATTGACAGGCTTGGGATCTTGGAGTATATCTCAGGATGAGCAAGAAGCACCGTCTCATAATCGAGCACAAAATAAGGCATTGACAAGCTTGGGTTCTTGGAATAGATTCTCAAGTGAGCAAGGGGCGCCTTCTCATAATCCTGTGCAAACCACTCCGTTGCCAGGCTTGGGTTCTTCAAGTAGATTTCGGAATGGGCAAGAGACACCTTCTCATGATCGCGCAGAAACTACACCATTGACAGGCTTGAGTTCCTGGATTAGTTTTGAGAATCAGCAAGAGGTGCCTTCTCATGTTCCTCACTTTAACAAGAAAGAATTGAGTGCTTCCCTGGCGGTATGTTTGAAACTTTATAGTTGGTTTCTGTTGTAAACTTTTGGTTTTACAGTTTTAGGTGTAGTCCTTTTTACTTTCATTTTTCAACAATGAACGTGATTTTCCTACCAGATATTTTTCCATGAGAACTTATCTAACCAGATTATGGTTAATGTGATTGAACTTACTACTGTTCTCAAATTATTCACCTTTTAGGTTATTAAGAGGGTTATGGAAATGGATGCATCTGTACCTTTCAACGCTCCTGTGGATCCAGTTGCTATGAGAATGCCTGTGAGTCTTTCTATATGCATATTTTTACAATGCCAGTGTCAAAGATACCAAAAACTCCTGCATTAAAAGCCTCGAAAGAATTTAACAATTGGTCAGAAACAGTGTATTCTTGTATGTATAGATGTGCAAGCTATTGTACGTCTGGGTTCTTATCCTGTTCTGGACATTTTGTAGAATATCATGTATTCAAAACAGAGTGACAAAGCCTTTATCCTGAGTGTAAGGTCTTGAGATTGATTCATAAGTTGGAACTATTGGGGATGTTCTTAATTAGTTAATTTTTTATTTGATATTATTACATACAGACCCGCAACGTGACATAGCTGTTTAACATGTCATATGTGTTCTCAAATGCGTTTCTATCTTTCTTTCACAATTTCTCTCTTTCTCTGTCTCTTATTGTGTTATCATGTACTTTGTTTTGTTTTGCCTTTCTTGGGTGTGGGGGTGGTTGTGGCTGGAACAGGATTACTTTGATGTCATAGATACACCAATGGATTTTGGAACAATATGCAACCATCTTCAAAATGGTACTAAATATATGAACTCAGAGGATGTGTTCAGGGACGTCCAATACATTTGGAAGAACTGCTGCACCTATTACAATGAGGGTAACTTTGTTTTGGACCTTATGAAACGGGTGAAGGAGAAATTCATGACATATTGGACAGAAGCTGTTTTGTGCAGTAAAGAACCAGGACCAAGAAGTGGTAAGGGTTTCATGTTACTTTTATTCCGTTAATTTTTCTAGTCGTCCTGCAGTGTTTTAAAACATGAAAGCACGAGACATGGCGTTTTGATGCCCCGTATGGAAAGGTGTAGGGGCATAAGCCTTATAATTATAATAACAAAACTATAACAACTATGTTATGGTTAAAAAATGTCAACTATCATTCAACATATGAATCAGCCAATCTGGTACAATTCAACAAAACCCTCTTTGTTATTCTTGGTGATAAAATTTTTACTTGGTAGGCAGTTAAGCATAAAATAAACTTAATGGATGTCATTTATGCAATTATACAATGTTGGTCATTTTCTTTATCATTTATGCAATCTCTTTGCTGTAAATTTATATGTTTTCTATGAGTGGGCACAAGTACGCGTAAGATTGAATGCTTTACATCAATTGGTAAGTAAAGTTAACAAGATTTTAGTGATTTTTGGTTTGTTGTACATGTACTGGGCGATGGAATGCTCCTGTATGCTAATGCAGTTGTTTTAAAGACTTAATTGGTTGGTGAATGCATAGGATTACTAGGTTTTCGTTTTATGGTTTGAAATGTAAAAAGATCCATGCCTGCATGCATAATTAATTACGAACAAAAAGATTAAATTATAGACTGTAGAACATTTGAATTGGCAGTTCAGCATATGTTTCAACTTGAGTTCTCAAGGTATTTATCTACGGGGTATCCCTTAGTTTTTCACCTTTTATTTTTATTTCTTTTTTCATATATTATAGATTTTTATCCATTCTGTTTTGATGTTTAAGAACACTTTCCTATAAATAAATAGTTATAATATTTGACCTTGGTAGAGAATGGATTGGATTGACCGGTGATCCCGTGGTAGAGGTAGGAGAAAGATTCCATAGACTATGCATTTCATACATACATTGACTGTGGTGATTGTGCTTTGATAAATCTTTTAATTGCCCATTACGTTGTATTGGGAGGATGAGGCATGCATAGTGTGTGGTTCATCATTGGTGTGGGTTACTTCAGCTTTCATTTTTGTTAGCTTTTGATTAATTTCCTTTTTAGTCTTAAAAAGCTCTAATGTGGAGAAAAGGAGGACACGAGGGCCCACTGTTAACCGTATACTAGATCAAGTTCCTTTTGGGGGAAGACTTGAAGTCACCTGGAGGAACCGGAGAGCTGTAGGTGAAAGCTCCAAATTGTTCAAATCAGCGTGTACAGCCCTGGTTAGGCAAACCCGGGAGATACCCCTACAGGTCAAGTCGTGGAAGAGTATCCCAATTGATATTAAAAAGAAGGCATTTGAGCGTATCTTGGTTAGTAATACAACACAAGATTTGGAAGGAAGTAGTTCACACTATCTACCAATTAATTTTCCCTCAAATCCTTTTGTATGCTTACTGTATAATATTTCTTCATATATGTTTCTCAGAAGCGCTTCAAAGTTGAAGATCACATGCGATGGGTGTTGGAACAGATTCATAGATCCTACCACAGTTATCGGCGTTACCTCAAGAGGTTGTGGTATGATACATGTGGGACAATTGAGGAAGCACTGCAAAACGTACCACCAAGTGTCGCTGAGGATGATTGGCAGTATCTTACAGACTTATGGAGCTCACCTGAATGGAAGGTACAACCAAATGTTGCATATTTTAGAAGACAACGAGGGAAAAAGTCAAGTTATTTTTCTCTATGTTTCTTTCAGTTCCTCTACTCTTTCCTAGTTTTATTTTTATACACACATTGTCTTCCTTAAATGTAGGCATGGAGTAAGAAAAACAAGGAGAATGGTTTCAAAGAAAATAACTTAATTCACACTTGTGGCTCCAAGAGTTTCTCGCAAATCTACGAGGAAGAGGTATGACCTGTATTGTCCAGTGAATATTGTGTTTAAATATTAAGGGATATTTTGCTGAGTTGCTTGCAATTTTTTTTTTTTTTTTTTTTTAATTCGGTTCAATGATAGAGAAAGAAGACTGGAAATGACCCTGGTCGCATACGTCTATGGGAACTCACCCATTTGCGGTCTGATGGAAAAGCTGCCCATCCAGCTGCAGAGGAGGCATTGGTATGTATACTGATTCTGAAAATTAAATTAAAAATGCAAGCATACCTAACTTTTAATTAGTTATGTATGTTGAGTTCGGTATACTTTTGTTTTTCTTTTGTTCTTATATTTCACTTAGTTGTTCCATTTTCTTCTTATATTTCACTTAGTTGTTCCATTTTCTGAATCCAGTCAAAGCTCAAGGCACTTTATGCTGAAGTCTCTGCGGGGAACTTGCATATGACTGAAGACGAGATTTATGAAAAGGTTTTTGGACCTGAGCGTCCGCAGAGGGAACGTGGTATAACCTCCAAAGAGCTATGGGGTGAACTCAGAAAGCAACTTGACGAATCAAAGCAGCGACAAGAGGAGTCGGAACAAAGATGTGTTGCTGAGGTACAGGGTTTAAAAGAGCAACTTGGTAGAGTTGAGGGTTTGTTTTCAGAGCAAATGAATCGGTTTGAAGGTTTACTAGTACAGTTGGCGAGTCAAGTTAGTTCCCCTGTGCAGACAGAGAGGCCTACTGTAAATCCACCCTCCCAAAGAGGTATGCATTTTTGAATTCTCGTTCCAGGAAGTATCTATATGGTTGACCAAAAAAAGAATTAGCTATATGGTGTCTGGAAAAAACGGAATTACAATCTTTTTATACTTTACATTGAAGTATGGCTCGTTTGCATTGACAATTCTACTTGTTTCTTGGTTGGTAAAGTATGAGTCGGACACCACTATAAGTGTTTCATAATTCTTCGCTGATGATAAGAATTCAGTGAAGGTTGAGTTAGTATGCTGTTCTATATCATGACCTCCGTGTCATAAGAAATGCCTTTGGTTTTTGTAAAATGTTGTGGCTTTGTACCATGGCTATATATGTGTTTAAGGAGCTGAAGTTCTGTGACTTCAGAGGTTCCATAGGTACATGTTACTTATAGTCCTGTTAATGAAGATATAGGTTCCGTAAATAACACACCATCCTACTTGGCTAAATATGTAGTGTGTGGAATCAATGAGAATGGCGACAGGAGGTGTCATTTTCATCATTTTTCAGCACTTGATTTGGTTTAACTAATACCATAAGTTTGCAACATCGTATGATGTTACTGCGTACCCAAATACCTTTTCCTGCATCTCCATAGTGAACATTTGCCGCTGTGTTTGCTCTTTGTTGTCCTTACCACTGCATCTCCCTAATGAAATCATACTTGCCTATGTGTTTTTTCCCATTTCATTCCTCATCTGAATAAATTTTTGCAGTCATTTAATTTTCCATTAGTTTCTAAAGCGGCATGTAGATGGCGGTGCATACATCTTGGTGACCCTCTTTGGCTTGAGGAGTTGCTTTAGGGATGGCACAATACCAGAAGCATATATTTAACTTTATAAACAAAAATTTAAAGCAAACAAAATAAAAGGAGATTGCATTTTTGAATGCCTTTTGCCTCACCTATATTGGATGCCTATTTTATAAGTGCATACATACAACGCGTTTTTATTTAAGTGGTGGAAATGTAATAGTTTGAACAGGGTCCTTGTTCATCGAAGATAAATTAACCGTCGGGCTTGCTCTGTACAAACTCAACTTTATCTCTGAGATTGCTCTTAGTTGAATGCTTTCAGTCCAGTTCGTCCAAGATATGTTTTGATACTCAATTCATTTAGTGTTGGAGGTTGTAACAGCCACTGTTTTTTGTTCTCCTTTTTCAGGCCGACCGCGGACTGTCCGACCTAGAAGATGAGGTCCACATCAGCTATATTTGTGTATTGTATCTCCAGTAAGAACCTGATGGTAATTTATTTGTTACTTTCAATGGCCCAAACGTGTCGTGTGAATTACGTGGATAAATGTTGAATTTGTAACTCACGTACTTGTATCAATGGATCGGTGCAGTAGTTTCTCGTGTTTTCTTTCTTTATGACCAGGGTTTTATAATGTGGAGTGCAGTGGTGTTCTTGGACAGTCGATTTCACTTGGTGTGACAAGATTTTATTGTTAATGTATGACATCGGGAGTTTTTTAGTTAAGAACGCTTATTTATTTCAATCACCTCCAAAAATGGTAGGAATAGAAAGAATATGTTTCTTTTATGTCCAAGGGAACATTGAATACGAATACGAAATTCAAAATTCGTAATTTTAAACTGTGAAATCTAGGGACTGGATTTCCTAAGAAATGCTGTTGCTATTTTTCTTAGTTTATTGAATATGTTATACAATGTTTGAAAATTAAATTTTCTTGTACTTTTATGTTTCTATCTACGTGACACTATTTCATTGGATATGTGAACTTATGTCAAGTCAGCCTTAAGCAGGCCCTAATTATGTTGCATAAGTTGGCTGAATAATTATTTAACAGAATACATAAAAACAACTCAAAGGAAAGTGAATATTGAGTTTCAGAGAGTAAAGCAACGATTTTTCAATTTCAGATGACAAATTAGGATCGAAATCAAGTTTCAGATAGCAAAATAACGACTTTTGAGTTTTATGGTGCAAACTAAAATCGAAATCAAATCAAGTTCTAAGGAGCTTAACTAAAAATAATCCTACTAAGAGCAACTCCACTTGAAGCACAGGCTAGTTCAAATCGGTAAAAAATAGGTTGACACCCCTTAAAAACCTGCCAGCCTATTTAAATAGGCTGGCATCCAGCCCAAGCCAGTCCATAGGTTAGCCCAAAACATGCTGAGCTAAAGACCAACGTGCATGACCTCAGGCTGACGTCAGCCACTTGAAATTTTTTTTTTTTTTTTTTTTTTTTTTTTTTTGCGCCAGGTCTTAGCATCGGAGGCTGTATCCACCAGAGCGGAGGCCGCAAAGAGAGGTCCGTGCGCCAGAGATGGCGGAGAAAGAGATGTTGGGCTCGACTGTAACTGTTTCTCCGCGGCGGTAGCAGATGATGGGATGCCGCGGTTGTTCTGACACGACACCGCAGACGGTGCTGGAGGCGGAGATAACGGCAAGGGTCGAGCCGGAACCGAAGGCATGAGCTGGTGGTGGTATAACGGCGGAGAGGATGGTGGCGGTGATGATGATGAAGGTGGCGGTGGTAAGGGAGGAGAAGGGTCGTTTCGTCATAGAAAGAAATGGGGATTGACGGCATGGGTGGTGGGTTGGCGTGCTCTGGTCTGCTTCATTGGAGGAGCTTTTTTGGGGTATGCGTGCACGCAGACAGACGCAGAAGAAGAGGAGAGAGATCCAAGTAGATTTTGGGGAGTTCAGATGATGATAAAAGACCTTTTTTTTGGAAAGCCGACTCTGAGGTTGTTTTCACAGCATTTATATAAAATTCGTTTCTTTTCTTCTTCTTATTTAAAATAAATAACTAAATAAAATGTCAGAAATTAATAATATTTTTTATTAAGTTAGAAATTAAAATTATTTATTATTTTATAATAAAAATTAATAATATTTTAATAAAATTGATTAAGCTATTTAGTTTTACAAATAAACTGTTTATTAGAGCTTACCATTGTTTATTGAGTGAATTAGATTGGCACACATTCATTGAGTAAATTAAATGAACTGTGTACCACCGTATTTTTTAAAGATGAAGTTGTTCTAATTACGAAATGAGAATCGAATGCTCACTATCCTTTTTTTTTTTCATTGTAATTAAAAATATCTTTAGTGACAATAATCTGGTTTGGTCAGTTACGAAAATGTAACCATAGTTATTGCCGGGAACCCAACTAACATAGGCTTTACCTGCAACATCTATAACGCACACTTACAGTTACAGCCGAGATTCTGTGTCCAAATCAAACCACGATTCCACACAGAAAAGCAAGATGACCCCCAAATCTTCCATACCCTAGATCTCTCCGATCCATTCGATACTGAAGAAGGTAACTCCTTCTCTCTCATTTGTTTTATCTTTTGATTTTTCTGTTGGATTTTTTTTTATTTGAACGAATTAAACAATTTTGGAGCTTTTTAGCTTATAATTACTGCTCTTATTTTATTTTTGTAGTTTGAATTAGTTGGAGATATTTTTGAGGAACCCAGTTTGATCTGACTGATATTTTATTTTTTATTTCTTTTGATTTGTAATTTTTTGAAGTTTGTTGGTAGATCATGAAGCGGAAACAAGCGTGCAGGGGGAGGGGACGGCCGCGAAAGAACCCAAATGTGGTGAGTGAAAGAGTGGTTAGTGAGAGGGTGGTGAGTGAGAGAGTGGTCAATGAGAGAGAAAATGCTTTCTTGAATTTTGTAAGTCACAATGTTGAAGAAGGAAATAATATTCTTGAGTATTATAAAACTGATGATGAGGACCGCAATGATGAGGAATTTAACCCCGAATTGGAGATTGATTCGGGGAGTGATTCTTCTTCAATGAGGAGTGAATGGTCAGATGGGGATCAAAATGTGAGCTCTTTGGATAGGACAGTGCAGAACTTGCTTAAGAGGTATGGTGAAGTGAATCACCAGATGGCAAACTCATCGAAGCAGATTGATGGTGCGCAAGCAAGTCCATTGGCAGTCTCGGGTTCTAGGTGTAGGTTCCAGAATGAGCAAGAATCGCCTACACATGAACCTCGCTCTAACAAGAAAGAATTGGGTGCTGCCCTTGCGGTATGATGAATATTTTGTAATTGGTCTCTGTTATAACATTTTGGTTTACAATTTTAGGCCCCGCTTATGTTCTTGTATGTTCTTAATCATATATTTTGTTACGCAAGCTTATCTAACCAGATTGTGCTTAATGTGATTGAACTTACTGATGTTCTCAAATTATTTTACTTTTAGGTTATTAGGAAAGTTATGAAAATGGATGCAGCTGTACCTTTCAACATTCCCGTGGATCCAATAGCTCTGAGGTTACCTGTGAGTGTGACTTTCTATTTGTGTGTTGTCTTACTGTTTTTCTCGAGTGATAACATGACATGGTGATTGCCAAGATATAATGCTCTGGAATATGTCTTCTGGTTCTGTATAGTTTTTTATCTCTATTGCGTTTAAAAACCTTTTAAAAAGGGATTGTGGCTTCTAGCAATAAGTACGTCGAGGTACCTTGTTAAACATGTAAGAAACTAGCTTTTGGGGTACAAGCTCGACTATCGCTAAGAGCTTGTACATTTAGTGGAAAAATGACCTGAATGAGATGTTTTGTCTGCACCAAAGTATAATATTAATGCTATGACTTAGCTATCTAAGTATACACAATGAGTGTTTGGCATGCATTATTAAACTGAATGATACAAGCTTACCACTAAGCTTGTAAATTTTGTGGAAATATGACCTCAATGTTTTGTTTTGTCTGCATGGGACTATATTATAATATGAGTTAGCTATCTAGGTATACAAACTAAGTGCTTAGTAAGCACTCTTTTATGCTGAATGTTGGAGGCTGTTACCTGGACGTGACATGGGGGAGCGTCATATCAATCTCTAGTGATTGCTCCAAAGTGCTCACTCATCCATCTAAGGAAGCGACATCACAAGGTGGAAGGTGTACTTTCTATGTTCTTAAAATGATGACAATTCCAATTGAGCATTGGCGGCTCCTCCTTGCATTCCGACTTCCCTCACTTTTTCATTTCCTATAACAGTTCACAGTCAAAAGAGAGAGTGAGGGGTGGGATAGTTTGGTTGGGGCCTCTATTCTTGTGTGGTTGGCTTGCAGTGAAGAATTGTTTTGGGCTTGAGAGGAAAGCAAAAGCTGGAGTCAAAACCTATTATTTTTATTGGCGCACACATATATTTCCATTCTTTTACCAAGTAGGTCAAAAAACCTGATTTGATTTCATTTGATTGTATGAAAACATCGGTTTTGATTATTTATGTATTTGTATATACATATTATTGTACTTTTTCTATCTTGCTTGCATAATAAGTAATGCCTAATGTATATAGAACAAAGGTTACAAAGCCAGGGTCAAACGTACCAAAAACCGCTGCAGTAAAAGCCTGAAAAGCACTTAATTGTGGTCAGAAACAGAATAATGTATTGTTGGAAGATTTGGATATCCTATGCGTTTAGAGGTTACTCTCTCTCTCTCTCTGTCTTCTATACTAAGGGATTTGTTAGCAGCCGTTAAATGATACGGTTTAGCTTTACCATGTGTAATTAGCATTATCTTAAAGGTCCTTGCTCATTACTCCCAGTTCTAGGTGGAACTCTTATCCACTTACGCAACTTCTCTCTTTAATATATAAAATTCTTTCGTTTCTTCTCCAAAAAAAAAAAAAAAGGTCTCTGTTATTATTTTATACATACATACATACATCTGCAAGTGAACGCACATTGGGGTTTGTATGCTGTTCTAGACATTATGTAGAATATCATGTTTTCAAAAAGGAAAAACAAGGCTTTTTGTAAAGTCTTAAGGTTCTATTTCACAAGTTGGAAATGTTAGCTTTCTGAGGGATGATTTTAATATTTTATTTGATGTTATTACATACAGACCTGCAACGCCACACTGGTGTTATATATGTCGTGTGTTTTGAAATGCGTTGCTGCCTTCTTTTATAATTTTCCTCTTGCTCTTACTGTTTTATTTTCTACTTTTTTTCTTTTTCCCTTGGGTGTGGGTGTGGTGGCGTCTGGAACCAGGATTACTTTGATGTCATAGAAACACCAATGGATTTTGGAACAATTTGCAACCATCTTCAAAATGGTACAAAGTATACAAACTCGGAGGATGTATTCAAGGACGTCCAATACATTTGGGAGAACTGCACCAACTATTACAGTGAGGGTAACTTTCTTTTGGACCTTATGAAACGGGTGAAGGAGAAATTCCTGAAATATTGGGCAGCTGCTGGTTTGTGCAGTAAAGAATGTGGGACAAGTAATGGTAAGATTTCGTGTTCCTTTTATTTTGTTACTTTATTTTGAAATGTTTAAAAATGTGAAAGGGTAAGCTGAGACTCGAATTATAATAATAATAAAAATACATT